TTAGGTCAACTTGTTTCATTGTCAAAGTCACTGTTGTATAAAATATTTAATAACAATTGTAATTGTCTTGTATGTTATAAATTCAGAAAAATTTTTGTTTGTTATTGAAGAGGGTGTCACCATGGATGGGTGTGTTGTCTCAACTATTGGTAATTTATTACTAATTATACCATTTTATAAAACAGTTCAAATTCAAAGCTGTTTAAGCAGAGACGTATATACATGTGTATATATGTCTCTGGTTTAAGTGTATCATATCTAGTTGCACTATTATAATGCATTATTTCCTTGGTGAAAATAAGATAAGAAACTTCCAGATTTGTACTGGTCCTTTAAAGTTGAGAAGACATTAACTCTTGGAATTGTAGTAATACGTTTACACTATACAAAAATCTACATGTTATATCAATATTTATTAATGATAAAGAAAATTACTGTCACATTTTTTTGGATTTTGAGATGAAAATTTATGAACTAAAAGTAATTTTGAGTTTCTGTAAAAAAATATTTCCTACTTTTTCTTTCTTTTCAATATATCTTTTGGTTTTCAATTCTAGTGTTTATATTTTATCATCATAGATGTATTTTGTCAACTGCCTGGAATTATTATTTTTTCATTGAATTTGATCGGCAAGCCCGGAATTACCCTTATCCCCTCCGGAATCGGATCCGTTTTTTGTTATTTTCTTCATTTCCGGTTTATGACATCCAATGTTTTTTAATGTTGTTTTGTCAGGCAGATACGATTTAACTTGGATTTACACATTACTAGTTGGAAATTTTCGGTATAGAGCTAGCGGTTGAACAAAATGAACATCGCTGTTATGAATAATAATGATGAAAATAAATTTTGAGATTGTTTGGAAATTTTTGTTTAAAAAGGTCGGCAAAGTTTATTTTTATTTTCTTTCAAACCGAAGGTCTGTCGGGCGTAGCTTGTAACCAAAACGAGAGTCCGACTGCAAAAATGGAAGGTCGCGGACCTCGGACCACCGCTAATTTGAACCCCTGTATAGTTTCATTCTAATCAAGCAAAGGAAATTCAAGTTACTATAAGGAAAGTATTTCCCCCCAAAAAAATCTATAAAAGTAGCAGTGTCCTTGACCTTTGACCCCAACATAAATAGGCTTCCACCCTTACCATATATCTTCCAACTGTAGTGTATAAGTTTCATTCCAATCAAGTAAAGGATAATCAAGTTATCACCCAGAAACCAATTGTTTCGGACACATGGAGACATGAGAAGGTAACAACTGATTAAAAGTTGTTTGTTTATTGATTTTCAGACTAAAATACACTGCTTTTGATTACCTTGACTACTCAAATCCTGCTTTTCTAATATTATGATAATAAAAATTAGGAAAAAGGACAATTATAATAATCATGATAATTGATGAACAAAATATCATTAACCCTGGTTTGGTTGAGTTCTTTCAACAGAAGTGTTGTTCATTCCAGTCACCTAAAGGTGCACATTGTAGTTTTAATTCTTATAAGTTTAAATAGGTAAGACAGCTACAAATAAGACTTAGATTTGTGATTTTCAAAGGTAGCTCAATTAAAAGGTCATAAAATTCTTTCTTGGACAAGTAGAAAAATTTATCAAAGAGAAGGAGAGATAACTCATGTAAACTTCATTCCTATTTCAACAAGAGAGTTTGAGTCTGACTCGCACAAGTAGACTCCCTGCTGACTGATAAAGCCATTGAGATTACAAAGTGTAACAATTTGTGAATATCTGGTTTAAACAGTCAAAAATTGTTTCTAAAAATAATAAAATGCTCCGCAGGGCGCAGCTTGATACGACCGCAGAGGTCGAACCCTGAACAGTTGGGGCAAGTATGGACACAACATTCAAGCTTGATACAGCTCTGAATTTGGATTGTGATTAAATATTTGACACAGCATAGGTTTCTGACACAGAATGAATGTGGTCTAAGAACTTAAAAATTTTAAATTGGACATTCACCTATTATGGTCCAATATCCAAAATCTAAATACATGGTTAGATTCAGCATATCAAAGAACCCCAAGAATTCAATTTTTGATGAAATCAAACAAAGTTTAATTTTGGACCCTTTTGACCTCAATGTGGACAAAGTTGATAACGGGGCCCAAAAATCAAAAATCTAAATACATGGTTAGATTCAGCATATCAAAGAACCCCAAGAATTCAATTTTTGATGAAATCAAACAAAGTTTAATTTTGGACCCTTTTGACCTCAATGTAGACAAAGTTGATAACGGGGCCCAAAAATCAAAAATCTAAATACATGGTTAGATTCAGCATATCAAAGAACCCCATATATTCAATTTTTGTTGAAATCAAACAAAGTTTAATTTTGGACCAGATTTGGACCAACTTGAAAACTGGGCCCATAATCAAAAATCTAAATACATGTTTAGATTCAGCATATCAAAGAACCCTAAAAATTCAATTTTTGTTAAAATCAAACTAAGTTTAATTTTGGACTCTTTGGACCTTAATGTAGACCAATTTGAAAACGGGACCAAAAATTAAGAATCTAAATACACGGTTAGATTCGGCATATCAAAGAACCCCAATAATTCAATTTTTGATGAAATCAAACAAATTTAAATTTTAGACCCTTTGGACCTCAATGTGGACCAATTTAAAAACGGGGCCCAAAATCCAAAAACTTAATACACGGTTAGATTCAGCATATTAAAGAACCCCAAGAATTCAAGAATAAAACCCCATTGAAATTGATCAAGAAATAAGCAATTTATACGAAGTATCTTCTTTTGCACAATACTGTGCAATTGAATATTTCTTGCTGTTGCGCAATACTGTACAATTGACAATTTCTTGCTATTGCGCAATATTGTGCTATTTGGATATTTCTTGCTATTGCGCAATACTGTGCAATTGAAGATTTCTTGCTATTGCGCAATACTGTGCAATTGAAGATTTCTTGCTATTGAGCAATACTATGCAATTGAAAATTTCTTGCTATTGCACAATACTTATTATATAATAATTTACACATCCTGTTTGGTGTGTATCTCCTACCATATCATTATTATATGCTTTTAAATATAAATCAGAAATAACCAACTTAAAATGGAAAATTTTAAAAGAAAAAAAAAAAGGAAAAAAAGAAAAAAAAAGAAAAAAAAAAAAATCCCCCCCCCAAATTTTTTGAACCCCCTTATGTATGATTCATCACCCCCAAACTCAATCCCAGCCTTCCCTTTGTGGTATGGTACCTTGCAGTACAATTTCAGAGAGATCCATACACTTGAACACAAGTTATTGTCTGGAAACTAGAAAAATGCTTATTTTTGGCCCCTTTTTGGCCCCCAATTCCTAAACGTTTCGGGCAATTACCCCCAAACTCAATTCCAGCTTTCCCTTTGTGGTATGGAACCTTGTAGTACAATTTCAGAAATATCCAAACACTTACACACAAGTTATTGTCATGAAACTAGAAAAATGCTTGTTTTTGGCCCCTAATTCCTAAAATTTTGAGGCAATTACCCCCAAAATCAATTACAGCCATCTCTTTGTGATATGGAACCTTGTGGTACAATGTCAGAGAGATCCATACACTTACACACAAGTTATTGTCTGGAAGTTACAAAAATGCTTATTTTTGGCCCCTTTTTGGCCCCTTATTCCTTAACTGTTGGTACCATAACCCCCAAAATCAATCCCAACCTTCCTTTCGTGGTATTGAACCTTATGGTAAAATTTCATGGAGATCCATTCACTTAAACTAAAGTTAGAGTGCGAAAACCAATGTGTCTTCGGACGACGCCGGACGACGCCAGACGACGACGACGACGACGACGACGCCAACGTCATACCAATATACGACCAAAAAATTTTTAATTTTTGCGGTCGTATAAAAATCACAACACATGCATAGATATTTTATAATAGTAACATGGTTTGTTGTCAATACACTGAACGCAATTCATCAGAATAACAATACCGAATTCAGGCTTGTATATTCCACGGTTTTATTCTCCAAAATTGAAGCTGCCAGGCAGGGGTGTGGACTATAGGGTACGATAAGCAAGAAATAAGAGAAAAACTTGATACCGCAAGGTTTGCTTACGTTCCGCCATGTTTGTTATTGAAATTGTAGAGGGCGCCCTTATCATTTTCAAAACTTGTATTTTACATAATCCATATCAATGTGCAATTTTAATTCAAAATTCACAGTATTGAGTAATTCTAAAATCAATTTCAATACAAATTTCTTGTTTCTTTTCACAGCATTGCATAACTTAAACTGGAAACTGCTTGTATTTAAAGGAATAAAAAAAGTGTATAAGTTAGGCGGGAACCAGCTTATGCATAATGATGTGTAAACTACAAAACGAAAACGGTTATTCGTTCCATTTTGATGATTCGTACTGACACATGTGTTTTGTTTTAGCTCAAGATCATCCTTCACACATTAATATGATGGATATGTTTAACAGTATTTAACTTAAGGATGGAACTGTTTTAATTTCAAAGTCGTATTCTAGTAATATCTATAAAATAAGGATTTTCCACACACTCTCACCATTTACAAAAAACATTTTCAACTTCTACTTGGGTGTGAAACGGGGTTTTCCATGAAAATATCGCAAATGATCACATATGATTTGATATTACCGGAGTTTAAAGGAACGTTTTCGACCAGTTTCAAAAAGTTTTTTTTACCTGAATTTTCGTGGCGAGAAGGGGGTGCGGAATATGTACCCCTGCGAACTATACAAGACTGATTACGGTAAGAGTGTTCTTAATCTTGGACAAGTTATTTATCAGCACAAAACCTGTTCAATCAACTTCTATTGTGTGAATGGGATAAACTGACTTTTAAAATAGTAAGCTAGATATATGTTGCTATTTTCTACTGTACCTATCATGATGGCAATATTTATCAAATTGCAAAAATACCAAAATACCTTCACAGTATTCGAAGACCCATTGTTTCTAAATACCAAGATTCTGCCTCTGCGTTTATTACATTATACATACCTAGATGTTTGGAGTTAATGTATATATTTGGTACAGTTTTTTGCCCAGAAACTTCCTGCAATGCATTCTGTAATTCTGCTCCATTTGCTGAAATGAAGGCAATATCATACAATATACAAATAACAAAGTGGTGAAATAATGTGCCTAAACAGTCGTCTGGTTTATTGTTGTTCATCAGCAATCTAATTATAAGTAAAATACAGATCATGTGGACACACTTGACTTAACGAGGATCTGACATGAAAATCAGGTCATAGACACTTCTTCATTGTACATGTTGTATGACCATAAAAATAACAGACAAATGTCAGACAGACAAATTCCTTACAAGATATTCAGATAAATAATATTGCTATTCTGTCATGCATCTTAGCTACTGAGCAATGGATTAAATCTGAGATTATATTTTTTGCAGAGATGTTACCAGATCTAGAAAAATATATTTCTTATTTTTTATTTTATATTTATAATATAAAGACAATTAATTGTAAACTAGATATTCAAAAGACAGAAAAATATCTGTTTAAATTTTGTACTGTAAAACCTGTCAAAAGCAAACACTATCAGGGCTGAAGATTTTAATTCTTGGTGGCCTCAGGGAATCTTTGTTTGTTAAAGGTCATACTAATGTTTGTACAAAGTATTTTAAAAGTATACACAAATGTATATAGTACTTACAGATCTGATCCAGCTCTAATACTTTAAATTCTACATTGAGATTTTTAAATAGGTCTTTTACCTGTTCAAAAAAGAAATTAGAAATAAAATCATTTAATTTTTTGTAGAAAATGAAGAAACTTAGAAACTGCATCATGTTCATAGCGTCATGAGCATTGGCATATACAGTGAAACTTCTCAAAACTGACCGCCCGTCAGACCACGGAAAACGGCTGGTTTGCGGGGGTGGCCGGTTTGTTAAAAAAATTGAAATCATCAAGAGTTACTTCCCTTCAATATGTGTCTTTGAGTATATTTGAAAATGTATTTTTTTATTTCATGTATTTTAATCAAAATTTATGTTTTCCTCTGTGAATTTTAGTTTTGTATATTTTATGTATCATAAAATACATCTACAACTTCTATTTCATTTTATCTTATTTTATTTTTTATTTTGCAGGAATAATAAGTAAAATACACCATACATTCATGACATTAATGGCATTTCTTTTAATACTTGTGCAAAGTGATATACCATACATTCAGGATATTTCTTTAATAGTTTATCAAAATGTTCTACCAAACATTCAAAATTGTGCATCAAAATAGTAATTGTAACCCTGCAATAGCATGTGTAATTATCTCAACCTGTCATAACATAATTAGCTTGGGTATTGAAAAACTTCACAGAACCATAGTCAGTCGGCATGCAGGTGACCTGATTGACTGGATTATCTTCTATGTTTGCATAACAATTATATGTAGGGATCGGAGATTTCAGATGACAAGGCCAGTTTTACGAGGTTTAGTTTTATTGATTTCGATTAACCAAATACAAAAATACCGGCCGGTATCCAGTTTAAAGGGGTGGCTGGTATTATAAGGTTACATGATCATTTAATTGAACACAAATTGGCCGGGCCTTATGATCTGCACGGTATGAGGGGGAAAACTGGTATTCAGAGGGACCGGTATAGAGAAGTTTCACTGTATATCTAAAGTAACGTAACTGATTTCACTGTATGTTCTGCTAACATGGCTAAGAACCTTTTGCTTTCCAACTGACCGAAATAAAAAGGGGGAGGGTTGAGAACACATAAAAACTACTGTGGTTTATTTTTAACATGTTTATGTTAAACCATATCACATGTCTGCAGAGTCCAAAATCTAGTAATTTAAGTCATAAAAGTGATGGTTTTAACTAATATTTCAGTGTTTTTGTGCTGAAAATATTTGATTCACAATTTATCAATACTCCAGGCTAATCAAAGATTGACAAATGGTATAAATTGAAAACTTGAAAAAAAAATTCTGTAAAAAAATAATATTTCATAATTTCACGTAAATTTTTTAATTTTTATCCATTTATATCATGATTATGGATTATTGAAAGTTCTAGTCAAATTTAATCAGAATTGTCAATAATATGTTGATTTTTCTCTATTATAATCAAGACATCAATACACTAAAGCTACCAAATATGTGAGGCCATAATGAATTAGCGAACATTCTCAGCCCAGGCCTCTACATTATCATTTTTTCTAACTTGTCCCTTCGGACAAGTTGCAAGAAAATCAACTTGTCCGAACTCTTAATTCACTTGTCCGAATTCATAATTGAAAATCTTACATATTGATGATATGCACCAATAACACTTGATGAGCTTTAATTGTATTTAATAAAGGGAGCATTTTGTTATGTTATATGAATTTGTTTGTAAGTACAATTAAAGAATACCACATCAAAATTCATTTATATATTTCAGACTGAAAGATTATTTGCAATATTTACTCAATGTCACTATGATGTGTTGATCATTAAACCATTATCACTTCCCAAATCACTAGGTTCTACTATGGACCTATTCGTTCTGTAGTAGTGGTATGGGTTAAACCAAGGATGTAAATACACCTGGCCACCTTGTATATAATTAAACCTTTTTAATTTTTTGATGATGGCAAAACAAGCTTTTATAATTTTATTTTGATTTTTATATACATTGATAAATGATAATGAAGTACATAAAACATTTCACTGAGAAAATCTGTCTTTTTAGATTTTAGTTAATTTTTACATCTTTTTAAACTTATTATTTTTAACCATAGATCTTGTCAAATAAAAACTTTTTTTTTTAATGTATTGTTTTGCATCAAAGCAAAATCAAATGAAACATACTTTAATTTAAAAATTTTAAGTTAAGGTAAAACTCCATATGACATGTATGAAGGTGCTCCTAATTCCAGGAGGCTTATACTAAGAAGAAGCATTACCATTGGTGTCTTTCCCCCTTACTTATATTCCCTTGGTCATCCGCTACCAGCATGTTCAAAATTAAACTTCAATCAGAGACATATTATATGTCTCTGGTTCAATCAAAGAATATTTCTTTCATTTTGAATGATCAATAAAACAATCATTCAATTTTTTGGGAATGTATAAGTCAATAATAATTTTTTTGATCTTTTTTACATCTGACATCGATTTTTCACTTGTCCCATCGGACAAGTAGTATGATGAATCTACTTGCCCGACGCCTGTGTCCACTTGTCCCGGACAATCGGACAAACGGTAATGTCGAGCCCTGCATTCTGTGTCAGAAACCTATGCTGTGTCAAATATTTAATTACAATCCAAATTCAGTGCTGTATCAAGCGTGAATGTTGTGTCCATACTTGCCCCAACTGTTCAGGGTTTGACCTCTGCGGTCGTATCAAGCTGCGCCCCAGCAGAGCATTTTATTGGTTATTATCTTGAATATTATTAATGATAAAGATAAACTGTGAACAGCAAAAATGTTCAGCAAAATAAGATCTACAAATAAGTTTATATGATCACAATTGTCAATTGACCCCTTAAGGAGTTATTGCCCTTTAAGGACAATTTTACACAATTTGTTTATGATGTTTTCTTACTTTAAAAAATCTTCTTCTTTGAAACTACTAAACCAATTCCAACCAAACTTAAGCTGAATGATACTAACGAAGGGTGTCTAGAAGAAAGTTTGTGTTTTATTTTCTGGTTCATAAAAAAACATGGCCGCCATGGCTAAAAATAGAACGTAGGGTAACATCCAATTTTTGGCTTATATCTCAAAAACCAAAGCATTTAGAGCTAATCTGACGGAGGTAAAAATGTTTATTAGGCCAAGCTCTGTCAGCCCTGAAATTTTCAGATGAATCTAACAACCCTTTGTTGGATTGCTGCCATTAAATTGGTAATTTTAAGGAAATTTTGCAGATTTTGGTTATTTTCTTGAATATTATTAATGATAAAGATAAACTGTAAACAGCAAAAATATTCAGCAAAGTAAGATCTATAAATAAGTTCATATGTCCAAAATTGTCAATTGTCCCCTTAAGGAGTTATTGCCCTTTAAAATCAATTTTTCACAATTTCTTTAGTTTAAAATTGGGAATGGAAATGGGGAATGTGTCAAAGAGACAACAACCCGACCATAGAGCAGACAACAGCTGAAGGCCACCAATAGGTCTTCAATGCAGCGAGAAACTCCCGCACCTGGAGGCGTGCTTCAGCTGGCCCCTAAACAAATTTATAGCAACGAGGGTAAATTATCACGTTGTGATTGGTTTAACGCCGTCTCGTGGTGACCCCCTATGGATCCGTAGGGGGTTATTAAATTTCATAGGGGTTCATGAGGTCACGTCTACTGTTAATGGTGACGTCATCTATTAATGTTGTTGTGTTTCATTGTTTATTTTTCTACGAAACAGCAGAAAAAGTCCTTTGTGCGATAAATTCGTTATACGGTTCACTACTGACCCCCTACGGACCATAGAGGGTGAATAAAATCCATAGGAGATTCGGCCTTCGGCCTCACCCCCTATGGATTTTACTAACCCTCTATGGATCCATAGGGGGTCAGTAGCGAACCATATAACTTATAATGTATACTAGTTCAGTGATAATGTTTGCTTACTTTAAAAAGTCTCCTTTGAAACCAAACTTGGGATGAATGAGTTTCAGAGTATCTAGTATTAATTTTGTATTTTATTTTCTTGTACATCAAGAAACATTGCCACTGTGGCTAAAATGAAACATCTGTGTAAAATGTATTTCTTTGATTTTGAAGAAAATATGACAGATACTTAGAACATTTCAATGGAAGTTTTAAGCCATTCATTAATATATACATGTATTGAAAAGCAAAAATAATCATTGATGAAAGATTTAAGCAAAAAATTACAGATGAGCGATTTAGGCTCTTGAGAGCCTCTTGTTTTGATTTTTATACTTGCGGTCGTATATTGGTATGACGTGGGCGTCGTTGTCCGAAGACACATTGGTTTTCGCACTCTAACTTTAGTTTAAGTGAATGGATCTTTATGAAATTTTACCATAAGGTTCAATACCACAAAAGGAAGGTGGGGATTGATTTTGGGGGTTATGGTACCAACTGTTAAGGAAAAAGGGGCCAAAAATAAGCATTTTTGTAACTTCCAGACATAACTTGTGTGTTAGTGTATGGATCTCTCTGACATTGTACCACAAGGTTCCATATCACATAGGGAATGCTGGGATTGATTTTGGGGATAATTGCCTCCAAATTTTAGGAATTAGGGGCCAAAAAAGGGCAAAAAACAAGCATTTTTCTAGTTTCATGACAATAACTTGTGTGTACGTGTATGGATCTCTCTGACATTGTACTACAAGGTTCCATATCACAAAGGGAATGCTGGGATTGATTTTGGGTGTAATTGCCTCCAAATTTTAGGAATTAGGGGCCAAAAAGGGGCAAAAAACAAGCATTTTTCTGGTTTCATGACAATAACTTGTGTGTAAGTGTATGGATCTTTTTGAAATTGTACTACAAGGTTCCATATCACAAATGGAAAGCTGGAATTGAGTTTGGGGTAATTGCCTAAAACGTTTAGGAATAAGGGGCCAAAAATAAGCATTTTTCTAGTTTCCAGACAATAACTTGTGTTCAAGTGTATGGATCTCTCTGACATTGTACCACAAGGTTCCATATCACATAGGGAATGCTGGGATTGATTTTGGGGATAATTGCCTCCAAATTTTAGGAATTAGGGGCCAAAAAGGGGCAAAAAACAAGCATTTTTCTAGTTTCATGACAATAACTTGTGTGTACGTGTATGGATCTCTCTGACATTGTACTACAAGGTTCCATATCACAAAGGGAATGCTGGGATTGATTTTGGGTGTAATTGCCTCCAAATTTTAGGAATTAGGGGCCAAAAAGGGGCAAAAAACAAGCATTTTTCTGGTTTCATGACAATAACTTGTGTGTAAGTGTATGGATCTTTTTGAAATTGTACTACAAGGTTCCATATCACAAATGGAAAGCTGGAATTGAGTTTGGGGTAATTGCCTAAAACGTTTAGGAATAAGGGGCCAAAAATAAGCATTTTTCTAGTTTCCAGACAATAACTTGTGTTCAAGTGTATGGATCTCTCTGAAATTGTACTGCAAGGTACCATCCCACAAAGGGAAGGCTGGGATTGATTTTGGGGGTAATTGCCTCAACATTTTAGGAATGAGGGGCCATAAATGGGCAAAAAAACAAGCATTTTTCTAGTTTCAGGACAATTACTTGTGTGTAAGTGTATGGATCTTTTTGAAATTGTACTACAAGGCTTCATATCACAAAGGGAAAGCTAGGTTTGAGTTTGGGGGTAATTGCCCTAAACGTTTAGGAAAAAGGGGCCAAAAAACAAGCATTTTTCTAGTTTCCAGACAATAACTTGTGTTCAAGTGTATGGATCTCTCTGAAATTGTACTGCAAGGTACCATACCACAAAGGGAAGGCTGGGATTGAGTTTTGGGGTGATGAATCATAAGGGGGTTCAAAAAATTTGGGGGGATTTTTTTTTCCTTTTTTTTCTTTCAAATTTTCCATTTTAAATTGGTTATTTCTGATTTATATATAAAAGCAAATAATAATGATATGGTTTGAATAGGTAAATTAAAAATTTTAAGTTCTTAGACCACATTCATTCTGTGTCAGAAACCTATGCTGTGTCAAATATTTAATTACAATCCAAATTCAGTGCTGTATCAAGCTTGAATGTTGTGTCCATACTTGCCCCAACTGTTCAGGGTTCGACCTCTGTGGTCGTATCAAGCTGCGCCCCAGCGGAGCATTTTATTTTCATATTTGCCTATTATATTGAAAACTATATAGACAGAGAGAAACTTTCAACTGCAAAAATGATCAGAAGGGTAGTATGAAATAGTCATTTGACTTCTGATTAGAGTTAACGCCCTTTCATGACGATTTGTACAATTTTTTTGCAGTTTTGTTTTATATCATAACTTATAATATATAAAAAGAAACTTATATAAACAAAAAATGATCAGCAACAGGCCTCTACAATAACTTTTTTTTCAACTTGTCCAATAGGACAAGTACATACCAAAACTTACTTGTCCGAATGGAATTGTAACTTGTCCGAAAAAAATCCTAATATCAACCTTTTTTGCATTTTAATTTGATTCACCAAACAAAATGAATTAAAACAAAAGAACATAATTTGATTTATATATCTTGAAATCCTTTTCAAAAATATGAGTCAGGAACAACTGAATCTAGTCATGTCACGGGACTTAAGTTCTAGTTTTCATCAATGCCAAAGTCTCATCAGACTCAGCACATGAGGCACCGTCAGGTAGGCCTGTCAGTCTACACGTCATTGTTTTGTCTACATATGATCAAATATGATTCTAAGAATTTTATGGTCAATAATTTAATAATTTCTTCATTTTTATTTCAAAAATAATTTTGTGAAAAAAAAATTATGGTGCTTTAATATTATAAAGCAACAGAATAAGGTAGGGAAACCAGGTACTGGTTTGTCTTGGTCCCGAAATGTCTCCTATGGTGCCAAACTGTCTATTAAACATGTCTATTAAAAATGTCTCCTACGGTGCCAAACTATCTATTAAACATGGAGCAGAATCGTTTCCCTGCTGGTGCCGAACTGTCTTGTAACGTTACCTTATCTACAAAGTGCATCGCTGATTCCAATCAGTAAGACTGGTTTCCGAGAATAGTATGCGTTTTATCTGTTAAGAACTATCTAACAAAGAACCAGTTTTAAATTATCGACTGCAAGTAAACATGTAAAATTAATATTTGTTTTTATCTTCTTTTCTTGTTTTTTTGTTTATAATTACTTTGATCATCAAAGTTGGATTTAATTTATTTTCTGAAGAATAATTTTACTTGTCCCGTCGGACAAGCTTACTATGGTTTTTACTTGTCCGACCTTTTTTTCCTCTGGTACCGGACAATCGGACAAGCGTTATTGTCGAGCCCTGTCAGCCACTTATTTCTAAAGCTATTTTAAAAGCTGACTGAGCATCCATCATATTACAGGGCCTGCCAACATGACCAATATAAAAGGTAAACAAATATAAAAAGGAATTTAAATTTTACCTTCTTACAAAATGGACATGTAGTTTTACTAAACACCATCACTTTATTCTTCGATATGTAATCTTCAACTTGAGCCTTCAGACTGCCATTTTGTGTAACCGGCGGCATCTTTGCCAAAACCTGGGACAACGGAGAACCTTGTCGCTTTATCTTGATTTTTCAGTAAATCTGAAATGTAATTTTTTTATTGTTAAAGTTGACACATACAAAATAAGCTAAGGCTTTTAATTACTTGCATGACAATTTTGTTTGTTATGGTAAGATATTAATATTGAATTCCTTCTGGTACTACATGTAATTGCAGGTCTATTTCTTTACTGTCATGAACATTATGAATATTCTCATGGAAAAAACTTCAGAACTTGTTTATGGAATATAAAAGATCTAACAAATTAATTGACATTGTTAGCAATAAAACCATGAATACCTGAGACCTTAATGGTCAATGATGATGTACTTATATCTGATAATTGAGTTTTATGAGCATGCGAAATTTATATTTCAAAACCAACTTCAGCTTAATGAGGCTATACAATAACAGTCAATAAAGTCCATTTTTATACAAAACAAGCATTCTGAGAGTATTGCATGGCAATACATAGTCCCCTACCAGTTAAAAATTCATTGTACTGGAATAAAATGCTACCATGATCTATAACTTGTCATGGTGTAAACTATAAAACAAATATTTTAAAAGTCAATATCTTTAAGCATGTCGAAAACTAATTATTTGAGTGAATTTTTCAAGTCCAAGCCTTGAAGGACCATACATTTATAAACTCTGCACAAAATCATCAGACCAGAACAAAATTCGAACTTGGTCTGTAACTTGTCATGATAAAACCATATACCAATTATCAAATCAATATCTTCAAGCATGACAAAAAAAGAACAGAAAACTGATTATTAGGGTGATTTTTTTAAATCCAAGGACCATAACTCTGCACAAAATCATCAGACCATAACAAAATCCGAAATTGATCTGTAACTTGTCAGGATAAAACTATATACCAATTATTAGATCAATATCTTCAAGCACAAAGAAAAAAGTGTGGAAAACTGATTTGCTTGACTGATGGATGGACAGACAGACAGAGTGCAAACCTAAAGTTCCATTCGACATCGTTGGTAGGGGACTAATAAACAGCAATAGAGATATTTAAACTTGGCTATCACAAACCACCTTTTTTTTAGATAGCAATTTTCTTCATGTACATTTCACAACTTGTATGGTTTTAGAGACTTATGATTAAGAAGCTTAATTTAACAAGTACAACCATGCATGAACACATTTTAGTCTTTATCTGCATTTTATCAATATTTTAAAAATTATTTATAGACTGTATTTTTCAACCTTCCTTCGGGTGTGTCTATTGCAATGTTGTAAACTGAACCAAAACATTGATACATTTAAACTGTGGGAAAATTCATACATTTTTAAAACATACATGTTTAAACAGCAAGGGCTACAGGCAAAAATGACAGGCATGATATATTCTAACAAATTCATATAAAATTGTTCCTTCATCTATCATGCCTATGGTCTGATAATTTAATATACAGGGTACTTATTGGCCTCTCACAAATAATGCTGATTTCAAACAATTTTTAAGATGAATACAAATAATTTATGTGTCGCTTTTTATTTAATTTCCTTGTAAAAGTTAGTGGTCATCCATTAATTAACATGCAGGCTATAAGTTTTTTTTTACTATGACATTTCAGATTTACTTAACAATGTTTCTTCTATGCATCTAAAAGTCATGTATTTTCCTATTGTAAACATGTGCAACAACTGACAATAAAACATACCTACATGTACTAATGTTAAGGTTCATGTGGACTCTTTGGCTTAAATGGCTGTGTTTACACCACTAAATTTACTCTGAGTGCAGATAAACCTGTGCATTTGGAAAAATTTTAAGGCATAGCTTGCTATAGATATATAAAATTCAAAAATTAAAAACTTAATTGGATTTTGCAGTGCCCTTTTTTCATTCCTACAGAAGGTGCCAAAATATACAAGTTGAGAAAGAGGTTTGAGAACTTCTCCATAGGTAATAATTGAAGTGAACTGTATTGATTGACAGGGACAATAGATATACCTGACAATAATTGGTGATTTAAACTGTGTACATGGTGTACATGAGTGGACCCTATCAAGTAAAACTCAACTGTTAATTTTATCATCTTCTGCAGGGATGAAAAAAAGTGCACATCAAAATCCAGTTAAGTTTTTAATTTTCTAAAACAAAAATTTGCATTTGATTTATATTTATCTAGGGCATGCTATGCCTTAAATCTTTTCCAGATACACAGGTTCGTCTGTACTCAGAGTAAATTTTGCGGTGAAAACCCAACCATTTTAGCCATAGGGTCCACATGAATCTTAAAAATTTGACAGTTTTCAAGGGTACCCTAAAACTAGTTATATTCAATAATAAGACAATATACATACTACGAGAAGTAAGACTAATCAGTAAGATGAAGACCCAGAAACTGTTACAATTGTACTTCTGTCTAATAAGATCTGTTGTGGAATATAGCTGCCCAGCATGGCAGGTTGCTGAACAAAAAGACCTCCAAAGACTTGACAGGTTACAGAGGAAGGCGCTCACTCTGTGCCTTGATATGCCGTCAACATCAGACAGAGAAGCTTTAGAAATTGAGGCTGGAGTTCTACCAATAGACCTGAGAATCGAAGAGATTGCTATAAGGGAAATTGCAAAAATCCAATCAAAGTCTGTAAAAGAACCAATTAAACAACAACTGATAAATTATCAAGAAGAAATAGGTCATGACATCCATATAACACCAATGGGCAAAGCGCTATGCCAATCAGTTGAAATGGAAAAAGAAACTGGCATTAATATCAATTTAATAGAACCTGAATTCACTTACAGATTGGGAGAAACATCAAGGACAAAGACAACACCATCATACTGGAACAGACTCGGCAGCTCAAAATCAAGAACATCAGAACAAAAGCAACTATGCATAGCAGTCATGACAGAACTAATAAGTAATACAGCAAATGACCAAGCAACTGCATTCACTGATGGATCATGCAGGGGAAACCTGGGACCATGTGGAGCTGGTGCAATCATTTACACAGAGGACTCAAGACCAGCCATACGACTACATAGACCTGTCGCTCAAAGAGGATCCATCTTGCTGGCAGAGCTGGTAGCAATTGTAATTGTACTGGAATTTTGTATACTGGAAAGACTATATAACACTATCACCACACTTAAGATCTTTTCTGACAGTCAAAGTGCAGTAGGACTCCTAACACTAAATTGGGCACCAAAATCATATATTGATGTGATTCGAGACATCAGAGAACACATCGAGGACCTAAGAACCAAAGGGATGGAAATTTGCATCCTATGGACACCCGGACACGCAAATATACAAGGAAACGACGAAGCGGACTTATTGGCAAAGCAAGCAGCAGAAGAAGCAACACAACTCCTGTCAAAAAACAACATAATTACCCTTCAAGACATTAAACAAGGTGCACACAAGAGTGTCATGCTGAAGTGGCAAAGACGATGGGAATTAAGCAACACTGGAAGAGACCTTTTTGATATAACACCATACGTTAAAAACATCCCAATCTGTGACTACCCAACAAAAAAATTCTACAGCATCTTCATACAACTAAGAACTGGCTATACCACTCTTAATTACTATAAACAACACACAGGGCAAAACACCACCGAATTATGCAGCTGTGGAACTAGGGAAACACTGCAACACTACCTCACAGAGTGCTCCAACTATGAATGTTACAGAGAAGAAATGTACCACCAAATTACAAAGGAAATAGGAATCCGTAAAATAAATACAGGCACCCTGCTAGGAAGATTAGAACAAGAAAACACAGAAGAATATAAACGGAAGTTAGAAATCATACGGTCTTTATTGCAAAAACAGGACGTTTTGACTTACCAGAACATCCGAAACCTCAATCGTAGCAGCAAAAACAAAATTAAAGTACATGGAGGAAAATACATGGAGGAAGTTTCACATAGGGCGTAATATGCACCAATGGGAACAGTTGTGCCATAAGGCCATAAGATTGAGGATTGAGGAATATACTCTACACATGAAATGCAACTGTGAATTTCAACAAGACTTTGGCAATGGTGTAAATGTAAGAAAAATTAAGCACAATGAAAATTTTTGGGTTACCAAGGCTTAACCCTTTATGGTTTCTTTTTACGATTAGCACACACCTTGCTGAAAGCAGTCAGTTTATATTATCCTATCTTTTCTACAAAATATTTTCCAGCAAAAAAAAATTGGGTTAAGATTTTATTTATATAAGTGGCAAAAACAGTGCACATTTTTGAAGTTTTGTCAGTGAATGCAAATAAGTATTGTCCTTGGTCATCCGGTCTTTAGTGAAATCATTCGGATTATCTTTGGCGTTGTCGATCAACATAATGGTCGACCAAAATTTCCTTTTTGAAGTTTCTTATCTGTAATTTCATGTAAATAATGTGATAATCTTTTAATTTTATATATTTTCTCATTCGGTATTGCCATGAATATTTTCGGACAGTAAATATTTCACATTGAAATAACTTTTAAAGTGAACCTCCCCCTTTTCCCGCTTTGATGGGTATTTTCACATTCAGACTCAAATTTCAACTTGACATTCCAATGTAATAACCTTCAAAAATATCTAATTGATCAAAAAGATCTATAATATAACGTTCCTACCTTTAAAACTATTGAAAGGGTATGTATAATAACTATTAGTCCTTCACATGTGTCTGATGTGATCCGATATTTTACCCTCTCTTTTCATGACGTCACAAATTAATCTGCAAGTCACTTGAGGGAGAGGCTACAGACGGGGCCGGATTTTCAACAAAGGCACTTGTCTCTGAAAAAAACTACCTATCTATACTTTAATATAGATAAATATTTTTCTCAGAGACAAGTGCGCGCAGTGCTTTTTTAATGTGAAATCATACATGTATAAATACGACATTTGTGTTTTTTTCTGTTGATGTTTTTTTTTCTCAAAGTTTTTATTCGGTTAAGTTTGATTTATACTCTGCCGGTGCTGGGACTTTATATATATCTTCAAAGTCACAGGCAAGTGATAATGAGAGGGGCGCAATGGAATCAGTATACCATGTATACTTAAACATGTAACCTATGAACTTTTGAAGTAGCATGCACAACTTGAAATATAGTCCTATAATAAAAGACTTCGTAGGTTCATAACGGGGTTCAGCATTGATAGTAAAAAAAATATCTGATAAAAAACGTTGAATGCAAACAATATGAACCTACGAAGTCTTATATTATAGGACTACATGTAGCACAAAATATAACTTTAATATAGCTGAGACTCGCTTATAATCGTATTATTAAATCGTATCATATGTCTCTGCTTATACCATATGTTACATAAGAAAAATATACGAAAAGCAATATCTACAAAATGCCAATATGAGTCGAAACTATTTTGATTGTCTCCTTAACGGAGTTATTGTCCTTAAATGACTATTTTTATTTTGTCATTTCGTGATTTCGAAAACTTTGATACATAGTCATGATAGGTAGAAACTGTAACTAGAGTAAAGGATCACTCTCGGGGGGGGGGGGGGGGGGGGGCGGGGGGGGGGGGGGGCACTTCAATACTTAATTGATAGGGCGTGTCGCTGGGGTTCTGTTACCCCACCCTTTTCATATAATTTAGATCTTTAAAATGTATACCTTTTCATATATTGCGTAGGTAAACTGTAATCTTTTCCCATATTGTTTGGGTTTCGTGTGGTGTGTTGAAAAAATGGAATATTTAAGGCTAAGATTCTGTATATGTAATGTTTACTTACGGCGAGACTTTCGGCTGTGAAAAAATGACAAGGCTTTTCAAAGTAATTGGAACTGTATTGACCTTGTCATATATTTCTGATAGTTTCCCCCACCTATTCACATATTTTCAAGCTGGAAAATGTGACCTAATCCACCGACACGTCCTATCACCTTGTATATTTTTCTTCATCTCAACGAGAAGTCTTGCAATGACTTGCATTTCAGTTTTGAAAAATTGCTTACATACTTTTAATATATTAGTGCATTTTCGATCTAGGATTGCGACCACGATTGATAAAATGAATTTAAAAATGTCGGTATTTTTCAAACTGTTTTTTTTTTAACTAAACTGTCGCCGCGTCTACACACCAGTAGTCGTTCAAATCCTACTTTTGTACACATTATTCTACGTATCTTTTTGTCCGTTCATGATAATTGTTAACTTAATTTTGGTTTAGATATTTAAATCTAATACATACATAAACTCAAGAAACTTGTTTCCTTGCGTATACTAACAAGTGTCTCATCATAAAATAAGATTTTTATATTGGATAAAGATATGAATTAAATGACACTGACATTGTTTCTATGTATAATTGAACCCGGAAATGTTGGTACATATGTATTTTATATCTAGACTAAAATTCGATTTTGTTATCGAATCCGGGTTCGTAACTTATTAAATGTTTATACAGTATGCATGTAGACGGGTGTATTCACTGTTATTTTGTTTTTCAAGTTGTCACAGTGAGTTGAAAATACCATGTCACCATTACCTGTTGCTATAAATTGTTTCATAAAAAAAATTTAACCACTCCTTCTCCTTGTTCCAGTAGAAGGATTGTGTGTTTTTCAATGAAACGCGTCGAAGTGGAAGCATCTTTGGTCCAAGTTAGAAAGCATTTCTTTTAGGATTCAGTCAAAATTGCTATTCCTGTGTATGCAAAGGGAAAAAGTAAAGCTGTGTTTGATTAAGAAAACTTGAATCTACAGTAGCAGTAATAAAAATGCCTGCCGTACTTAAATTCTTACATTACAAGACCGGTACACAGGTGTTTCATAACTGAGTCTCCGCATATACAAAGATTATGTGGTATTCTAAACTGATGTTTTATTTCCAAATCAAGTACAACATAGTGTTGACCGTGTGCACATTTTACTATAATTACATTACATGTATGTTTCATTATGATACGTTATTTTGATTGGCTAACAGCAATCTCGAGTCATTCTGAAACTAACCTTGATTTCAAAATTTCAAAATGAAATGTTACATTCATGATGACACGTGCACGAGCTTCCACAATAAGGTGCACAGGTAAATAAAAGAAAATTTGATAGAAATCGTGTTTTTTATGATCCTAGCAAAAAAATGTAATTATAAGTATTGAAAGATTCTTTTAGCAATTTTATAGGGTTGTAAAAGCGTTGACCGTACGCACATTTTTAGAATGAAGAGCTTCTGTGCTTCATACAACATGTACTTCGGTGAACTTTAACACCCCATTAGATTTACAAAAAGAAGCATTCAATTCTTAAATGAAGAGTTCTGCATAACAAGCCGCTGAATGATTTAATTCTTTAGAAAAAAGTAAATTTGCTATAAAACGTGTAAACGTAATAATGATGAATAAAGATGATCGTTGGTTACTTTATGTCCAGTGGCAAATATGTCATTCATGTTTAGGACAAGAGGGCTAAAGATAAATATCCAAACAGGCTTTTGTAATAGACCTACTATAGACTACTATATAATAGAAAAACAAAGAATATGGTGTATCCATCCATGACATAAAATCAGTACAAGCACAACAAAAAAACACACAAAAAGCAAAGGAACTGCGTTGCATGGCTTTTAATACACTCACTTAACATGTTTAACCCCGCCGCATTTTTGCGCCTGTCCCAAGTCAGGAGCCTCTGGCCTTTTTTAGTCCTGTAAGTTTTTTTTTTAATTTTAGTTCATTTATATGTTTCGGAGTTTAGTGTGACGTCCATTTTCACTGAACTAGTACACATTTGTGTTTAGGGGCCAGCTGAAGCCCGCCTCCGGGTGCGGGATTTTCTCGCTGTGTTAAACACCAATTGGTGGCCTTGTGCTGTTTTCTGCTCTTTGGTCGGGTTGTTGTCTCTTTGACATATTCCCCATTTCCATTCTCAATTTTATACATATCATAGTACAAATACTAAAAAGGAGCTGTTAATAATTTTAGTAGAATATGTCTTACAATGTTTTAATATGTAAATAGGGTATGAATAATTTTCCCGGTATTTATAATAATTATTCAAAAGTCTGTAATCAGTCTGGTAATCTGTGCTAGGATACATATCGACATGTATGAGTGTTTGTGATTTATATATTTAGTTACAACATTATGTCATACCTAACATTAATTCATGAATATTTAAAAATGGCGTGATTCTGCCGTCTTGATAGAATTTGGTAATCAGTTTATACATAGGCACTTGTCTCTAAACTTTTTTTTTATCTATATACTTTAATCTATATACTCTAATATATTAAAGTATATAGATAAAAAAAAATCACAGACAAGTGCCTATGATTTTTAAAGGCAGTATTGCAGGAAAGACTTTTTCAAACTTTTCAAAGCCACAATTTTACGGAAACTGTATTAAATCAATGCACTGTCTTGGATACAGAAACCATCTATTTTTATTTCTCTTTCGGCTATCTTTCATTCAAAAAAAATCAGAAATGTGTTAAATGTGAAACTTTCAATCAAAACTATACATCGAAGTCTAGTCTAACAACCATTTGAAAATGTAGATACGACAATAGCGTATTTCAGCTTTTTTCGTTCCCTTTTTTTAATTGCAAACAAAATATTTTAAAGGGGTTTGTTGTGTGAAACTCAGTCGACTTAATCACCTACAACTGAATAATGCCGAATTTACAAGAAAGGCCTTCATGTTTAACTTATAAAACTAGAGGCTCTGAAGAGCCTGTGTCGCTCACCTGATTCTACTTTGGTTTTGGAAATCATGTAAAAATAGATTATTTGATTTCATTCCATTCAGTCGTTTATATAAGAAAACATTTTTATGTAATTCCTATAACTAGGTTTCCCGTTGGTGGCCATCTTGGATGACGAATCAGTAACAAAGTTATAAAACTTGGTAAGTATCGGGTAAGCACCTCATAAGGAACATTAATACCATGTTTGGTTTCAATCCATTCAGAGGTTCTTTAGAAGAAGACATTGATTACATATTTCCCCATAGTGTTCTATGTTGAACTAAGGTCCTCCTGGTGGCAATCTTGAACAGTAAATCGGCAACAAAGTAGCAACACTTCATCAACACCTCATAAGGAACATTTATGCCATGTTTGGTTTCATTCCATTCAATGCTCCTCTAGAAGAAGCATGTGTATGTATTTCCCATAGGGTCTTATTAAACTAAGTCCCTGCTGGCGGCCATCTTGGATGATGGTTCGACTAAAAAGTAACAACACTTGGTCGGCACCTCTTTAGGAACATTCATGCCATGTTTGATTATATTCTATTCAGTGGTTCTCTAGAAGAAAACATTTGTATGTATTTCCCATAGGGTCCTTTGTTAAACTAAGTCCCCCGTTGACAGCCATCTTGGTTGATGGATTTGCTACAAAGTAACAACACTTGATCAGCACCTCATAAGGAACATTCATGCCATGTTTGGTTTCATTCCATTCAGTGGTTCTTCAAAAGAAGACTTTTGTGTGTTTTTCACATAGGGTCCTTTGTTAAACTAAGTTTCCCGCTAGCAGCCATCATGGATGACAAATCAGGTACAAAGTAACAATTCTTGGTCAGAACCTCAAAAGAAACATTCATGCCACGTTTGGTTTCATTCCATTCAGTGGTTCTTCAAAAGAAAACTTATGTATGTATTTCCCTTAGGGTCCTATGTCAAACTAAGTTCCACTAACGGCCATCTTGGATAATTGATCGCCTACAAAGTTACAACACTTGGTCAAAACCTCATAAGGAACATTCATGCCATGTTTTATTTCATTCCATTTAGTGGTTCTCTAAAAGAAGACATTTGAATTTATTTCCCATAGGGTCCTATGTTAAACCAAGTCCCTCTCTGACGGCCATCTTGGATGATGGATCGGCTTCAAAGTAACAACACTTAGTCAGCACCTCATAAGAAACATTCATGCCATGTTTGGTTTCATTCCATTCAGTGGTTCTCTAAATGAAGACATTTGTATGCATTGTCCATAGGGTCCTATGTAAAACGAAGTCCCCCACTGGCGGCCATCTTGGATGCTGGATCAGCTACAAAGTAACAATACTTGGTCAGCACCTCATAAGGAATATTCATGTATTGTTTGGTTTCACTCCATTCAGTGGTTCTCTAGAAGAAGTTCAAAATGTAAAAACTTAACGACGACGACGGACGACGGACGCCAAGTGATGAGAAAAGCTCACTTGGGTTTTTAGGCTAGGTGAGCTCAAAAGGGCCAAGTTTACATATCAATAAACTATATCCGTTTTATTCCAATAAAATGCACTTAATCTTTGTAGATTTCTTTGACCATGTTGACAGCAACTTACGATCGACAACCACTGATTTTAGCTTCTTTTCTTAATTGTAACAGGTAAACAAAGATTCACGTGGTAGAATTAAACGTGTTAGCACTCAATCATTATCCATTACCTGGCACAATGGTGTATGTTCTGTGACAACACAATATAAACCCAAACTGTAAAAACCAGTTGGAGAAGACTTGACTTATCAGAGTTGGTAAAAATCACCTAGCAGAAAAGATAAATGCCAGGATGTTCAGAATTATGTACAGTTTCATTCTGAAGAACGTCCGTTATATCCATGACTAGTATTATCTTGTCGGCCTGTACGAACACATAACCCTTTGCGAGTGTTTGAAATTGATTTTTAGGCAGTGGCTATTTTGCCGGCGCCAGCAAAATAGAAAATATGCTATTTTGCGGCTCTGATTAGAATATCTATAAGAAATCCGGCAAAATAGCATATTTCTATAGCAATGGCTATTTTACCGGCACAGGCAATATATATAGTGAATTTGTTATTTTGCCGTTTCTTTGTAAAGAAAGAATTTTAATATTTACGTTTGAAAAGTACTACAAAAATGTGCATTGTCAACATGAACAATCAAATCATTACTAATATAGTTAAATAAGATAACAGTAAAAATCTCATTGCATATAAATTTGATAAAATAATATACAATCTAACAAAATCTATCACATAGCTTCAAAATCAAAAATGTTTAAATAAAATTTGCTTTTGAAATAATAGTTAGTTCTTTGAATTGCATATCTGAAAACGGCATCGGCAAAATAGCCACTGTCTTTTTTTAAACCTTGAAATTGGTGTAGTGTTTACAATTCGAAAATGTGATGTCAATATCGATCTTCCATATTCATACATTATTTGTCATCTATTTCAGTTGTTGTTTTGTTTGGAGGTTGATATTTTATTTTATTTTTATATAAATTTCAAAGTTCAAAGTTCTTTATTTTCCAATCTAGGGCTCATAATGGGACATAATGACAACAATACATTTTTATTCATAACACATAAAGTGACATACAAATACAAAATTAAAATTCACAAAAAGTGGACGAAATTCTCATAGAATATAATTATATTAACATGTAATCATATAAAATATCACAACATGATAAAACTTGTTATTATAATTATTATTATTTTTTTATTAATCAGTTAAGTTCTTTCAAAGTTTCATATCTTTGATTTTATTACCTTGCCAGAGTGCCAATACAAATAATATAATCATTTTATCATATAGTCTGCTAATAGAGGTCCACCTTGTCTCTTATCCAGAAAAGCAAGCCACACAGTGAAGGAATGAATAATTCAAGTCACTAGTATAATGGAAAAATACCGAGTGCAAATGCACTTAGACATGTTAGCAAGTGTGTTTTTATACACCTGTGACTAGTGCATAAAAGTAATTTTTATTTTGTTCTATCACTTTAATGCAAAAGTCACCAAGGGATGATACTAAAAGGGTTAGGCATCTCTTTGTCTAAATATAATGATTACTTAAAATTTTAATATATAATTATATATATTTGAGGTGGGTGTGGTCTTTTCATATTTTGATATTTACCAATGATTTGTATAGTAAGACTGTCAACGTATATTTGTTCCGTCTAACAGAAGTTCCACTGGAAACTTTGTTATAAACAATGTCATAATATCTGTTCCTGTACTATACCATTTATTCCGTTAGGAATATTTACTGTAATATTTATTCCATTTGGAACTTATATTATGAAGGAACTTCTATTCCGTGACAAGACTATACAAATCCGTTTATTTACTAATTTATCAAATTAGGTAAACTTTAAGCCGTAGATTTGCTTCCTATTCTTATTTAAGATTTTAACTGGTAATTAGTGAAACTTTTTTACTGGTTTCCAGTTATATAATTAGGACGCTCTTCCTACACAAGAGTAAGATGGTTACCAGAAAAAAGAGGTTTCCGAAGTTAGCGGCTTGAAGAATGGCAACAAATGTTGACAATGCTATTTTAGAGCAGTTCTGTGCAATTACAGGTTATTTCGACTTCTATTTTTCCGATCTAGACATTTAATTATTTATTATTTTGAATATCATCATCACAAAAAGCTCACAACGAATTATATGTCTGTAATTAAATCCTTGTTACTCCATCAATCATTTTGATTTTGTCGCTTTAATTTTTAAATGAAACGAATCAAACCCCAGAATGGGCAGATGACTGAACGTGATTTTTAAACAGTAAACTAAGATTCTGTTATGAGAAAGTCCTACCTGATGAGCTCCTGAAGATTATTGATATTGAACATTGTTCGTGGTATTAACATGTATCCTTGTTTCATGGGTTTTCGTGCTACATGTATTAAGAATGCATTGTGACGTCATAATTTCCATTGAAAAAGCATGCATAGAACGAATTCATATAACGTACAAAAACATATGACCTGACAATACATGTAAATTTTACTTGCATGTAGTAATCACTTAAACCAGTATTCAGATATACACATTTGCAGGAAATTGTGTTCTCCTTTAGGATGTTTTATGAATAATTTTGAAAATAATGAAATTGTAAAAAAGTTGAAACCTTGATTGTGTTGTTAGAGTTTTTTAGGGCCATTGTCATTGTACAGTGAAACCTGTCAGTCCTGAACACCTCAGGACTTTGTATTTTGTTGGGTTTTCACAGGTGTTCGGATCATAGAACTAAATGTCAGTGGACAGTTTAAAGTAATTTTGACACTAACTGAGAGAAACACCAAGTGAAACAACAGACCACAAGTGTGTCATGTTGATTTCAATGCAAACAAAAAATAAAATGAAATATGTCAAAAAGATGTTTTTAGGATGCATAAAACAGTAATCAAATGCATCCACCAAAGTCCTCTGTTAATAAATATAAAATGCTGTTATGGTTTAGGTCTAGACTGTGTTAGACCTCTGTCTATTAGCGTGATAGTCCCAACAGTCAGGGGAAACAAGTGATTTTAGTCATGTTAGTATCACACTGTCTATGTTAGTGATTTAAAAATTTCATTAATCACCTATTTAAAGGGGCATTACATGTAGCTACGAAATATATAAAAAAATATGATTTTTTTTTGTTCAATCATTAATCATGTTAATGAAAGTGAAATAGTGAAATAATAATTTGCTTTTAGCAGCCAGTTTGGTTCAATTTTGTCAAAATAAGCTAAGAAAAACTGCTGATGAATTATTTGCTTGCAAGTGAATAATTTGACCTCATTGAATCCGTATTCATGTGACCTTCAATTTAACCCCTTATCTAGAGAGGGGTTACACATAAACTAGGCGTGTTCAGCTATTAAAAGGAAAAGAATGTAAATGAAACAAGGGTGAACCATTCAGGTGATTGATTTGATCCACAAAAAATCATTCTTATGCAGTTAAAATCAATGATTTAACAGACCTAGAAAAATCCAAATGCATTTGCTCAATATCTATTTATATTTATATTTGGTTAAACGACCATCGGCAGTCTGGTTAATTAGTTTGCATCTAGACTAAAATACACAGTAAATGCTGATACATAATATCGAGGCCACATGGTCCATGCATTGATAATTGTTTATTTTAGACTCTTTGTAATTTGGATGTATAAGTTTTAGTATGTTATAAATCAAATACACAAAAAATTGTATGAGAATTTGAGTAAAATTGGTGACGATGAATTTAACAGCTATTGCCTCTTTAAGTGTTTAAATTTTTGCCCCTCAAATTACTTGTTTCAGTGATTTTAAAAAGCCTTCTCTAATTTTTCAATGCCAAAATCACTTATATAAGTAGTACCCCTGACAAATTGACAATGCATGACTATCCCAGTCTACATCATTGTCTGATTCAATTAAGTTTTCTCCCATAAGCTCACTGTTTAAATCAGATTCATAATCCCTGTCAAATTTCTGATTCTGTGGTTAAATTTTTAACAAAATTGTTACTGTTGAATAAAATCAGCTTATGAATGTCATCAACCAGCGGGTCTTCAGACTCATCTGCATTTGATGGGTTTATTGAAGGAATCCCACATTACATAAATATTTAGCATGGTGTATATCTTTACGTTTGAGAATGTCACACACACTAGCTTTTACTGATCCCACGTTTCAACTAAGATCATTTCAAGAATGATTTGAAACTGCCTTTGAATCTTTAATTAATTCCAATTTGTATTAAAGAGAAAGTGCCGAATCCATTCTTGCCCTTTTTGGGGATGAAAAGGTTCCTCATTTTGATCAAATTTACAAATTCTTTTACAAGCTAATTAGTTTAAATTTATACAAACAACTCATCTTTAATTAAATCAAACTTCAAATACCCTCAGGGATCCTATGTCAGCTTGTGTTTGTTTAATCACCCATGCCTATAATCATGATAATTGAAAATACCTACATTGTTTTGATTGGTATTGATAAATTTTTATTACAAATTAACTAATAAGCTGTTAAGAATCGTTTAGAAATTGGTATCAATAGGGTTCAGTTTGTCCAGGTTGAATTAACAAATTGTTGGTTTAAAGTGAAATTTTGTTTTATCAGATTCAGTTTTCGCAGGTGTGACTGTACATGTTTCATGTGTAGATAGAAACTTAAAAATACAAAAATGTTCAGCAAGACAACATCTGCAAATAGGTCAGCATAGATGAAATTGTCAGTTGTTTTCTTATATATATACATGTAGTACGGTAGATCTTGTCCTTTTAAAATGACATATATTTATTTACCCTTTTTTGTGTTTTTGGCAAAAGCTAAAGACATGAAAGAAGGTACTTGAGAGAAACTGTAAACAGAAAAATTATCAGCATTAAACGATAAATAAAAACGCAATTTTAATCATGAATTATCTAGTCTACAATGTTGCCAAGTGTCCATTGTTGAAGATGCACATAGAGTCTTAGTCATAGACCTACATGTAGGTTAGAGACACAGCAGGCTCTTTAGAGCTTCTAGTTTCATTTATTTATAACCATGATATTATGATATAATTACATTAAATGTATGTTTCATGAGAATCTGTTAGTTTGATAAGCTAACATCAATCGTACGACATTAAAAAATTAACCTTCATATCAAAATGAAGTGTTACATTCATAATGACATGTACTTCCACAAAAAAGTGCACAGGTAAATATAAGAAAAACTGGATAAAAATTTTTTTCATGGTCTTAGCATAAAAATGTAATTATAAGAAATGAATGCTTCTTTTAGTAATTTGATAGAGTTGTAAAAGTGTTGATTGTGCACACATTTTCAGAATGAAGCGCTTCATACAGAATGTGCTTTGGTCAACACTTTTACAACCCAATTGAATTACAGAAAGAAGCATTCATTTCTTAAAATACATTTACATTTTCTTTTGAAATATTTAGGAGCTACAAATGAAGTTGGTGTTCGTTTGTTAGAAGCATGCAACTGTAACCTTGACATGGCCATAGGAATGCACATGGATAGTAATGCGGATGGTGTTGTAACAGAGAATGATCAGCCGTCAACATCAGATTATGGGAATGATGGGTAATATATTGATAAACTATCGGATGGTGATATTTTGACATTAAATAATTATAATTATTAAAACCACAATGAAGCATATAATCTGCCTTCAATCCCTAAATATTGATCATGATGGAAATAATTTTAAAGGGCATGGATACTTTTTCTAAGTACATATAGATACATGTAGGTGTCAACTCTCTCAATATCATCCTAGTATATTTTGAAAAGTTTTAAAAATCTCACTCTGAATACCAGTCTCCTGACAGGGAGGTAAAATCTCACTCTGAATACCAGTCTTCTGACAGGGAGGTAAAATCTCACTCTGAATACCAGTCTCCTGACAGGGAGGTAAAATCTCACTCTGAACACTAGTCTCCTGACAGGGAGGTCAAATCTCACTCTGAACACCAGTCTCCTGACAGGTAGGTAAAATATCACTCTGAATACCAGTCTTCTGACAGGGAGGTAAAATTTCACTCTAACACCAGTCTCATGAGCGGGAGGTCAAATCTGCCACAAAAAAAGTTCAAATTTTTTCAATTTTCGTCGTATTTTGATTTTATTGTCTCGCCTTGACTGGGTCAAAAAGTGAGACATAGGTATGCTGCTTCCGGCGTCAGCAGCGGCGGCGTCAACAATGTATTAGTTTGTGATAAGGTCTAGTTCATGTTATCCACTAGGGTACATTGTAGGTCAATGATATTTGGTATGCAGTTGTATTAGCATTGGCACATCTCATTACCATGGAGATTATTTGGCCCCGCCCCCTCAGTCAAGGTCTATTGACTGAAACTTTTCATAGTTTACATGTATTAGTTTGTGATTAGGTCAATTTATGGGGAACCACTAGTGGTAGGTCAATGATATTTGGTATTCAGTTGTATAAGCATTGGCATATCTCATTTCCATGGAGATTATTTGGCTCCGCCCCCTAAGTCTTGGTCTATGGACTTTGAAAATTATGCTAAGTTTACATGTATTAGTTTGTGATTAGGTCAGTTCTAGGGGAACCATTAGTGGTAGGCCAATGTTAATTGGTGTTCAGTTGTATAAGCATTAGCACATCTCATTTCCATGGAGAATATTTGGCCCCGCCCCCTCAGTCATGGTCTATGTAATAGTTATACACCAAGGGATAGGTGTGTCTGGATAAGAAACCCCATCGGCCGGAGGGGTTTCTTATCCAGACACGCCGTATCCTAAGGTGTATAACTAACTTACACCCCATTCTAAACCCTATATTTGTTAACATTGATTATTAAATGAAAACAAAAAACAAAACAAAAAACGATAGCATATTTATTGAAAATATCAAACCATGATTTATAAGAATATTTTTATATTACATGAAACCCCACTAGAAACCTTTCTTTGGTTATCTTTGTTCCAACTTTGACAAGTGAGTATATTTTACAAATGTCAAAGTTGTTGTTTTGCATATTCCCGTTAAACCATGTGCTAATATGGATCAGCAGGTCAAGGTTGACTGTTTCGTGTATTCTTATTACAAACAAAAAATACATCATGCTCCTTGTATACAGTTGTCAATATGGACAGGTATAAGACGGACGACATTTTGTGGCAAGCGTTGGATTTGATAGAAGAGACTAAAGATAAAGGCAATATTACAACCCAAAGTACTTACCTGTATCAGTTTAATAACGGTAATCATAGCTGTATTTTATATCTTACAATTTTATCAAAAACAAAAGCCCCCCCCCCCCTCCTTCTCGAAAATAAACAAACATTCATATTCAAACATACTAAGGGATAGGTGTGTCTGCATTAGAAACCGGACTACCAGACAAGCTCAACATACAATATTTAATATAGAGGAACTCCCTTTTTGGGGGGCAATTAGGTACTGATCCAACCGGGGGTTCCCAACTCAAGAGAAAGCGGGGGGGGGTTCCAACCATTCAAATGCATTCATATTTAATAACCGCAGAACCCCCAACCCCGGGGGGGGGGGGGGGGGGGGGGGGGGGGGGGGTCCGGGAGTTAGAATCCCCATTTTTTTTAAAGATCAATGCTTTAGAATATAGACATATGACTGGGATAAATAAAATTACCTTCAAGCAAAGGAGTATTTAAAGGGTTATTTTTTGTATTCAAAATAGATGCTTATTGGAATTTCCTAAAATGTGTTTTTTTAATATCTTGAAACAATTTGTAGTGAACACTATTAAGACTATATAGTTTTTTCTTATGTTCATGCTATTTAAAAAATAATCAATTTCTATTGTTATGAATAACAATGGACTCTGTTTGCGGGATGTAGAAGCAGGGGTTTCCAGAAACCCCGCTCGTCACACCCTGTGGTCATAATCCATTGTTATTCGTAACAATAGATCTATTCAATTTACACTTGTTTCAGAAATAGAAACGATGAAGTATAACAATAGAACTGGGGTGTAATTACTTTGAAACTTTTGCTTAGTTTACATGTATTAGTTTGTGATTAGTTCAGTTTAAGATGAACTGCTAATGTTAAGTCAATGATATTTGGTATGCAAATTTATTGGCATTTGCAAGTATCGTTTCCATGGAGATTATATAGCCCCCACCCCTGATCATGGTTCATTGACTTTGAAACTTTTACATAGTTTACAAGTTAATGTTTGTGTTTAGGTTTGTTTAAAGGGAATAAGTCAATGGTATTTGGCATGCAGTTGTATTAGCATTGGCACATCTCATTTTCATGGAGATTTTTAAGCCATGTACCTTTAGTCATGGTTCATCGACTTTGAATATTTGCATAACATACATGTTAAAAGTATTGCTATTTTAATTTCAACATTTGCATTATCAAAATTACAAAAAGGCGAGACATATCTCTGTGATAACAGTTTTATTAAAAAAGTTGTTTGTCTTCTGATATCAAGGATATGTTGTTTCAGCTTTTTATATTTATTATCATAAATGATATAATTTTTTTCAGTACAGTTTGCAAGAATTTGTTAATCATAAAATTTAATGAGATCACAACCGGTTTTTGTTGGGGTTCTTGCTGTTACTCAGTCTTTAATTTTCTACTTAGTGTTTTGTAGACTGTTTTTGTCTTTTCATTTTTTTCATGTTACCCAGTATGCCATTGTTTTGTCTGTCTCTCTTCAAATTATGAGTTTTAATTGTACCTTTGGTATCTTCTGTCAAAGTATATTTGTTCCGCCTAACAGAAGTTCCACTGGAAACTTTGTTATAAACAATGTCATAATATCTGTTCCTGTTGGATGTTCCTGTTGGAACAAATATTCTATACCATTTATTCCGTTAGGAACATTTACTGTAATATTTATTCCAGTGGAAATAATATTCCAGAATATTTTTTCCATTTGGATTTTATATTATGAAGGAATTTCTATTCCGTGACACATCTGCCTATTTTTCTCTCTCCTGCAAAATGAAGGAAAAATTATTACAGAAAACACTACAAATACCACTGAATACAGTAAAAGAGTGGTGGAAGATACCAAAGAGATATTCAAACTCATAAATCAATGACAAACTGAGAAAGTAAAGGAAAAGGACAAAAAGACGAACAACAGTCTACAAAACACAACATAGAAAACTAAAGACAAAGACATTCGAACCCCGTCAAAACCCGGCAGCCATCTCAGGTGCTCTGGGAGTAATATAATATGAAATTAAGGATAGCTGAGAACTAGATCCCCTACTTTGGAGATTTAAAAAGTTGGCAGTTATACATGTTCCATTTGTCATTCAATTGGTCAAGAGTAAAAGAGGGAGGTTTAAATTGAGTGCCCAGAAAACTTTTCTAGCTCCACCATAATTTGCAACCTTGTGAGTGTTTTTTTTTTCAATACTTGAGTAGTCTCTGTTCCATTTAGAGCTTGACATTCATGTATTTTAAAGACACTCGTTGAAGACTTTACATCACCCTGAGGATGTCTTATATCTTAATTTTTGTATCATAGGGTTACCATGGTTACTGTCTCGCTGGCATATACCCCATAACTCCTTTTATTCATTAAAAGTAGCTGCTTGATTGACACTTAGTTATATATAGATGAATGAAGGCTTCCAAAATTGAAGAAATAAGTGAGTAAATGTTCATCTTGTTTAATTAGAAAAATATTTAAGTATTTGCCATTAGGTAAACACATGAACATAATGCTTACTTTGTCTCATTATTATTTGAAGTTGATTATCAAAGAAGTCAGATAATTTTGCATAGTCTTATTTAATTGTAGGGATGAAGTTAGAGCTCCAATACCACAGAGAAGTGAGACATTGATAGAAGAAATGCCAATTTATGGTAAAACTCAAATATTACCCGCTACTGCTCATACTGTTGGCACATCAAAAATATACATTGTAAAAATATTCTTTAACTGTTTTTATCACTGGACTTTATAACTGTCAATTTAAAATTTACCCAATTTAATGTGTGCATTTATTGTTGTGAGTCTTAAACAACAGACAGCTTTGGGAAAATTAATTAACATGATTCCTGAAATATATATCAGAACATAAAAAGCAAAAATTAAAATGCTATTTTGAATTAATGCAATGATGTTTGAAATATATATGTAACTAAAACAGTAATCAGGTCTATTGGAAATTTCAAAACTGTTTTGTAGAGTTCAATTGAAAGTCTGAATAATCATTTGTAACCATAATCATTGATAATTGGAATAGAAAATACACGGTTAGTACATGTACAAATGTTACCTTATGTAAATAGTATACATTTCCTCTATAAAATGTGCTATCATGTTTCTAGCAGATATTGAACTTTGACTCCACAGGTGGATTGAATTTCCTCTTGCACAGTGAGCTTCTATGTTCATATCTAAACATTGAAAAAAGACAAATCAATGAGAACAAATCCAAAAGCACATTTATTAGAGGACACTATAACATTGATTAAAATTAAAGTATTGAGATTTAGTGAGATTGCCAATGAAACAACTATCCACCCACAAAATAATAAAGGTGTGAACACTATAGGTAACAAAACGCCTTCAACACTGAGCAAAACTCATACAGTATAAAAAGTTTTAAAAGGCCCCTGCCTGACAAAATGTGAAATAATTCAAAAGCGACACCACCAGCCTCATATATGCACATGTCTGAGAATGTTGATTGCAGTGTAAATGAGGCACTTGTTTTGACAGAATATTCTCAGCTTATGTTTTCCATAGGTTTTAGAGGCAGAAGAAGAAAAGCAAGATCGGTATTTGATGGATTTCGGGATTTTCAGGCTGAAGCAAGTAAGATATACAGTACACATAAGACGATTCCGTTAAAAATCTTTTTGTTGCTGTTTAGTGAAACTCAGTAAAACATAGATATTGCTCATTATTGAGGGTGATAACTCATTGATTTAGAATCTTGTCAGTAATGGATATGTGTAATACTTATTCAATTTACAGACAGATACTTCAGTATATTTATGGGGGTCTGGGTGGCTGAGTGGTCTTAATAGTTCTTCATTGATCACTAACCTGTTAACATTGTCTTTATTAGTTCCAACCACAGTCATGGCAAGGTGCAAATGACTCCAACCTTAATTGACCAGGATTGAAAGTTTCCTGCTAAAAATAATGGTTCTAGCCAGGTACTCTGGCTTCCGCCACCAATAAAAAAATTGGCCCCCATATATAATATAACCAAGTGTGCTAAAAGTGGTGTTAGACACAAACAATCAAACAGTCAAAATATTTATCAACAGTCAAAAGCATTTACTTAAAAAACTGGCCCCATCAATATAACCAAGTGTGTTGAAAGTGGTGTTAGACACAAACAATCAATCAATCAAAATATTTATCAATAATCACAAACATTCACTATCATCAGAAAAGGTGGTTTTAACTAGTTTGCCATGTGTTGGCTCTTCTGTATTATGTTGATGTCTAATATACATTTATGTTTGTGGTACATGTATTTTCTGAACTTGATTTTTCTTTGTGTATTCTTTCATACATGTATTTAATGTCATTCAACTGACGGAGATTAAAAAGGGGGAGGATTTCATACTAAAAAGGATTGTTTAAACCTGGCATGTATCCATGTGAATGTTCAAAGTCTGGAACGTTGATAATATTTGTGTATTAATTTTCAGAACAACAAGAAGAAATGTTAACATCTGGCAGTGTCCCCAGTGTTCCCAACAAGAAGAGAACATTAGAAGATTTATTTCGTCCTCCTATAGATATCACTTTCAAGGGAACATTTGCAAGTGTAGGTGATTATAAGGGAGTATTTTATAAGATACTTAAGAAATGTCTCTCCTATAGATATCACTTTCAAGGGAACATTTGCAAGTGTAGGTGATTATAAGGGAGTATTTTATAAGATACTTAAGAAATGTCTACCCAAACTTAAAAAAAACATTTGATAAAATCAAATTGGATGCTATCACCCTTGATAGAAGTTCAAATCTTAAAAAAAACCCAAACAAACTGTTACATATAAAAAATAAGATGTGGTATGATTGCCAATGAGACAAATCTCCACAAGAGACCAAATGACACAGAAATTAACAACTGTAGGTCACCATACGGCCTTCAACAATGAGCAAAGCCGCATACAGCACAGTCAGCTATAAAAGGCCCCGAAATGACAATGTAAAACAATTCAAACGAGAAAACTGACGGCCTAATTTATGTACAAAAAATGTTACATGTATTTTAACATTTATTTATGGTTGTGTAGATATTAAGTAGCAGAAATATATAAATCATTTGAAAGTTTTAACATGATAGCTTCTTTGTGTTCATACCACATGAACAATTCTTGTTTAACCATTTTTATGATTAAAAAATTATGCTTAGAAAGTTCAAGAGGTTATTTGCTAACAGAAGAAATTAAGTCAATGAAGTAAATAAGAATCAAGATTTTCTCTTTCTTCCTCAGATAACAATTTAAGAAAAGACTTCTATAACAATCCAAAAAGAATTGTTTACTAACAAGAAAATTGGAAATGAAATATGAATGTTTATGCTGGAAGCTTTAATTAACATGCAAAGTAGTGACTATGGTACATGTAATTGGGATTTAAAACAAATCTGATCTGTATATTTCAAACAAGAGTTGTGTTTCAGTTACGAGATGAAGGTAAAACCAAGAATAAATGGCTATTGGTTAATGTCCAGAATGTACAAGAATTTGTTTGCCAGGCGTTAAACAGAGATGTATGGAGCAACAGAAATGCCAAGGCTGTCATCAAGGACAATTTTATTTTCTGGCAGGTATAGTAAAACCTTTATTAATAGCTATGAGCTCCTGTAAATAGAATATGTATAAATATATAAAAAATCTGATATCTAACACTGATAAAAATGTCAGTATGAAGGGCTTGTTCTGTCCTGAAATAATGATATTCAGGGTTAGAAAAAAGTAAGATAACAAAAGTACCGAACTCCAAGGGAAATTCAAAAGGGAAAGTCCCTAATAAAATGGCAAAATGAAAAGCTCAAACACGTCTAATGAATTGAAAACAACTACCATATTCCTGACTTGGTACAGGCATTTCCTAATGGAGAAAATGGTGGGTTAAATCTGGTTTTATAGCTAGCTAAACCTCTCACTTGTATGACAGTTGCATAGAATTCCATTATATTGAAAACAATGTGTGAGCAAAGCAAACAGACATTATAGGTTAAAACGTCAAAAATTGGGGTTCAGCAGCCAACATTGTAATATAATCTTAATCACTGTAAAAACAAATAACTATTTCAACAAAGAAAACACTTCAAATAAGATTAAATTAAGTTTTTTTTCTTCTATGGAATATCATTTAACAAATAAAGGATATGTTCAGGTCTTTTTCTACAAAAAAAAGGTAGTGGTATGGAAGGAATGTTATATTGTAAAACATGGATGATAGGGTTCAGAAGAGTTTTCACAATATAAATATGTTGGATGTTTTTGTATGATTGACAGGTCTTAAAAGAGAGATATTCCACATGCCTTTACATTTTTCATTTAAAATCTTTAAATCATCCCCATGGCTTTCATTTAGAGAGGGGATGACATGCTTTTGTGATATGGAATATAAGGGGTAAAAGAAGTTGGGATGTGAGTTAAAGGGGGTGATAAAAAGGGGATGTGGAATATAGGGGGTCAAAAGGTGCAGATTTGGGACATAGGGGATATAAAATTGGGATCTGGGAAAAATTACGAAGAAAAGCAGGATTTGGGAAATAAGCAACCTTGTGTCGCCCCTATTTAAGGGGAGGTACCTGCTGCTTTTGTACATCTTAATTATTGATTAGTACCCCTGAATTAAGAATGTTATACAGTATATTTAATGTGCTCATAGAATATAGAGAAAAAAGTCAAATTGGAAAAGTACCAGTCAACATAAAAGATATTCAAACCCATGTAAATTGTATTAATTAAAAGGTGCATTGACCCCTTACATTTATTTTAGAATAGATCCTAATTTTAACCTTAATCTTTTTTTTTTAAAGCAAACAATTCTGTTAATGCTAAGGATATTTTCATAATTGATGATAGAAGGATGAACATTTGCAAGGAATATATGACTCAATTTTGGGAGATTGAAAATTCAAAAGGAGTAATAGTATATTTAAACTTTTATTATTATTTTCTCTTGAAATTCACTGTAAGATTTTAATTCACATACAAACAAAGAAATATTATTTAAGCTTTTATTATAATTTTCTCTTCAAATATTCTTTAAGATTTTCATTCATATACAAAAGAAGTAATAGTATTTAAGCTTTTATTATTATTTTGTCTTAAAATTCACTGCTAAAATCACAATAATTAAACTCACATTTTTCATGTTTTTGTTCATTCTTAAAAATGCACAAAATAATTTCTGAATTTACAGTATTATATTATTTGATGCATAACTTGAACTAAAGTGGTTATTGAATATGGTCTTCAAGGTCCAAATAGTAATGTACCACTGGTAACTTTATTTTGTATTTTAATTATTTTTTGCAGGTGTATCATGATAGTGAAGAAGGAAAGAAGTTTTGTCAGTTTTACAAAGTCCACCAGTGGCCATTTGTTGCAGTGGTGGATCCACGAACAGGTAGCATAGCCTTTCATACTGTAAAATACACTGAAGCCATTAGCCCTCCCAACAGATAAAAGTTTGTTCTCAGTTTTGTTACATACAGAGAGCATGACGTTTTTACCATATACTATAGTGACTTCATGTTTCCATTCAGATGAGACCAGACTGTCTTTTAAGGTGTAATACCACCATTGATTTTCCCCTATTAGTCTTTGTTAAATTTGCACTTTTCAAAAAATTGTGCAGAATTTATCTTTGTTTCAAATAAAGAAATACTTGGCATGAGTAAAGTTTGATCCTGTCCAGTACTATAGAAAAAATTTCACATAACATTTCATTGCATATAAGAAAATAACCATCACTGGAAGTTAACCAATCAAATTTTCCCCCTTTTTTAACCTGTATACAAGCTTTAGTAACCATGTAACCTCAAGTTTCCAAAATATTCTATAGAAACCCCAAATAAAAAAATAATGGTGCTTTGAAATACCCAAGATATATGTTTATGACCCAGAAATGTTTTACTGCAATGAAATGTAGGATCAATTACCTACAACTGTCAAATTCAAGGGAATATTTTTTTTCGACCTATTTTCGTATGCAACCGGATGTGACGTACTATGATTTGGTGGTATTACACCTAAAGAAGACTTTTTTGTTAAATAAACTGAATGTGACTTTTTTCCTTTGTTATACTGGTTATTTCAAGCATTCCTGTCAAGTTTTGTCATAATCAGTTCAATAGTTTGAGAAAAATCTAGTATAATGTAAGACGACATCTGCAGCGATTCGAGCTAAATTTCTTCGAAAAATCCAAACCAAGCCGCATCATGATAGAATATAGTGTGGACCAATAAATGATCAAATATTTATCTCATCTGCCTACAAACAGTTGAATATGATACAAAAGATGACTTTAGGATGATAAATACTACCAATGGACCTCTTTGTCTTCCTTATAAGGTCTCTTCTGGTCCATTTATACCTCTCATTTCCTCAAAATTTCTACTTTATAGGCCAATAAATAAAAATTTTGGGGTAACTTTCACTCATTTATGATAGAAATGTTATAATAAATGATTAATTGAAGTATTCAAGCTGAATGAACTATCCGTATAAAAGTTTACTGTCTCCAAGGAGGTTTCAATAAGTCCTTACGTAAAACTTAAATTTACGCCGCGTTCCAGAGAGGGACATAAAAAGCTTCTCTTTTGGTGAATAATTTGTTGTTACTGCTTTAAAAATAATTTCATTTACTTAAAACTATATATTTATTAAAGTATTTCTTAGGAAAATTTTTTCTAGTATAGCAGAATATAAGAAAAAAGGAGAAAAAGCTCCCCAAAACTCTAAGTATGGCTTATTCTGTCAACTAATATTCATGGTAAAGTCCTATTTCAAGGAAATTTTCTCATAAAATGTGTTTTGGAGACTCAATCCACTCAGAATATTTCATTATTAGTAATATTTCACTTAAATAGCAAGAAATTTTAACACATGAGAGTACTCACAAGGTCAAAGGTGCATGTACAGCTTCCTATATTAGGTGTAATACCACCATTGATTTTCCCCTATTAGTCTTTGTTAAATTTGCACTTTTCAAAAAATTGTGCAGAATTTATCTTTGTTTCAAATAAAGAAATACTTGACATGAGTAAAGTTTGATCCTGTCCAGTACTATAGAAAAAATTTCACATAACATTTCATTGCATATAAGAAAATAACCATCACTGGAAGTTAACCAATCAAATTTTCCCCCTTTTTTAACCTGTATACAAGCTTTAGTAACCATGTAACCTCAAGTTTCCAAAATATTCTATAGAAACCCCAAATAAAAAAATAATGGTGCTTTGAAATACCCAAGATATATGTTTATGACCCAGAAATGTTTTACTGCAATGAAATGTAGGATCAATTACCTACAACTGTCAAATTCAAGGGAATATTTTTTTCGACCTATTTTCGTATGCAACCGGATGTGACGTACTATGATTTGGTGGTATTACACCTTAAAACTTTCACACAGATATATTGTGGATTCCTTATTCAGCACTGATCTAAAACAGCAGTTTTTGTACTTACTTAGTTTAAACATAATTTATTGTTCAAAATGACAAAGGGATCAGACACAAGTTTAACAACTTAGTAACATGTCCTTTTTGATGAGGGGCGTAAAGGAGGGTTATCTGCACAGAAAAATGCGAAATAAAATTGCCATTTCACGATGAACGAACAATCAAAAATTTCTTGCACGTTGATCTTTTTACCGATTTTACGAAACATGGTGAATAACTAACCTTTTTCTCGGCTGCACGTGAAATAAAAATGGCAAAACACGTTGCACGAAAATAACCCTTTACCACCCTCTTTGATTGGTACTTTGTGTCTTTTGTCTCTCTGTTATATTTAAAAATAAGAAGATATGGTATAATTGCCAATGAGACAACTCTCCAAAAGAGACCAAAATGACACAGAAGTTAACAACTATAGGTCACCGTACGGCCTTCAACATTGAAAAAACCCATACAGTATAGTCAGCTATGAAAGGCCCGGAAATAACAAATGTAAAAAAATTCAAACGAGAAAATTAACCACCTGATTTAAATACAAAATAATGAAGAAAAAACAAATATGATATACAGCAACAAACAACAACCACTGAATTACAGGCTCCTAATTTGGGACAGGCACATACATAATGTGGCGGTGTTAAACAAATTTGAAGGCGCCAACCCTTCCTTTAATCTAGGACAGTGGTGTAATAGTATAACATAAGAACAGACTATAAAAATCAGTTAAAAAGGCTTAACTCATCAGATGGATACAAAGCAGAAATACATCTAACAAAAGCACAGAGTGGACGTGGCAGGGTACTTATACATCCCCACAACAAAAAGACAACTAAGTACAGATCTGAGAGTACTCGCAGTTACTAGTTCTAGTTCAAAGTCAGTAACAACTAATTTAAAAATCATGCATCTACGACTAAAATATCAATCAGTTCACATCCAAAATCCAATGGATTTAGTGTAAAGACGTCATTAACAGTCAGAGAAAAAAATGACTTGTTTTTTGTGCTACCTACTTATACTGTTCTGATGAGTCAAGCCATTTTAAACTGATTTTTACAGTTCTTTTTTATGTTGTGATGTTACACCACTTTCCCGTTAGGGATGGGGTGAGCATTGACAAATTTGTTTAACCCAAGAACATTTTATATATATATGCCTGTACCAAGTCAGGACCCTGTACGTCAATGATGTAGTCATTGGTTGCTGTCTGTCATATTTTTTCTGTTACTTAGTAATTGTTGTATAATAAATCAGGCTGTTTGATTTCTTGTTTTATATTGTGTCATGATGGAGCCTTTAATAACTTACTGTATGTTATGAGTTTTGCTCATTGTTGAAACTTGTTAAACCAGAGAAAACAAACAAAAAATTATGCACACAACAGATATAAAACCATGTTAAGTGAAAATTGATTTACCAGTTTAATATTCATATTTCAGTTTCACATGTGAAAATCTTAACAAAAGAAAAATATTTTTGTTCCCTATTGTTATATGGAGTGTCTTTTATGAAAAATTAATTTTTCCATTCCAGCATTCCCTTTGTCCCTAAGTAGTTAGTCATCATTTTAGTCTATTTATACCAAAAAAGAAATATCCAGGCTAAATGCTGCAAAATTTATTGAGATTTAATAGGTTTAAGGTGGTACATAACACTACAGGGAGATAACTCTGTAAAAATCAGCTGAACGTTTTAATCACATGCTATTGTTAAGGAAATATTAAGCCTCTCAATTATCAAAATTAGTGTTTGTCAAACTGCTATATATCCAATGAAATTTTTCCGATAAAGTGTGTGGTTCAAGTTTGTTGAAATTTTTATATTTTTGTCAAAGGGTCAAAGTAAATATTTTGTCAAAATTTTATGAAAATTAAACGAGCCAAATTAAGTTTAGTCAAAGTGTTTGGTACCACCTTTATATGGTCTGAAACTGGCCATTGTTGACATTTGGCATTGATCAATATATGAGCAATACAGGTTATTAAGAGCCTCTAGTTCTCTTATCCAGTATTATTTAAGAACCAGAAATTTTAATTATCACCATTGCACTTGGTCTTAAATTGATTTAATTCTTTCATTTTCTTTTTAAGGTGAAAACATGTCAACATGGAACAGATTAGATGCCACAGTTTTCTGTGAACTAGGTAAGCAATATATTTTAATCTAAAATAATATGTTTTTATGGAGCATTTAATACAGTATTGAAATTAAATTTTGTTGTTTTGCATGTAATTTATATACAAACATAAATCAATTCTATAGTTTTCTTGTTTGAATTGTTTACATTTTATCATGTTTTGGCATTGTATTACTTACTATACCTTATAGGTGTTGGTCATTGTTGAAGGCTTAATGGTGACCTATACTTGCTTTGATCATTTGGTCTCTGGTTTATAGTTGTGTCATTGGCAATCACCTAAGAAAGACCCAATTTATTTAGTATGTTGGGATAGATGTTTGACAGGGTCATCCTGACCATGTTCTAATTTTTATGGATAATTGCTATTGGTGTTTTTGATACCTATACTAAAACCTTGATTTAAAGTCTTTCAATATTAAATTCAGTCATAAGCAGTAAAGCATGCAAGGATCTTGTTTGTTACATGATCTACTGAAACCTTTCTTTACAGTTACAGATTTCTTGATGGAGCATCCTTACAATGATCCATCTGAGGAACCCAGTCCAGCAGCAAAACGTGCACGTCGAGAACCAAGCATCGTGGATGCTACCGAAGATGAACAATTACAGGCAGCCATGCAAGCTTCTATTAACCAAAACAAAGTGCCTCAAACTGTTATTATAGATTCAGATTCCGACAGCAATGATATTGAAACATTCTCAGGTTCCGAAGACGAAGTGTCACAATCCCCTCTTAAGTCATCGCCAGATGTAAAAAGTATAAAATCAGCCAAAGAGAAGTTAAACGATAATAAGACAAACACTGATAGTGCTAGCAATGACCAAGATTTGAAAAACGATTCCGTAAACAATATTTCCAATTTAAGTGAAAGTGAAAGCAGCATGTTGAATAATACAGGAAGTTCAGATAATTATTGTTTAAGTGAAGACAGAAATTATAAACATTTCCTTGGTAAAGATACAGGTAAGTTTGAATCCTTGCTATCCCTATACACTACAACAGAATTACCTAACAGGGATCCAGTAGAAGTATACATAACACTGCAGCAATGTGGGATACTACCAGTATACGGAAAAAGATTGTTGCATTAAGTTTCCTGCCCATCTAGATCTTTTATAGGGTGAAATCACTTGGTATTTGCCTAAGAAAAAAAGCATGATACATTTTAAATTGTAAGATATATAAGTTTGACACAAAAAGAAACTAGAATTAACATATAAACATGGTCATAATGACACCCCCCCCCCCCCCAAAAAAAAAAAAAAAACACAAAAAAACTATTAAACTATAAACTATCATATGATTAATCACAAAGACCAGGCACATTTGAAATAAAAAGACTACATCTAAGATGTCACTACTGTGGATTCATTATTGGTGGAATATCAATTTTTAAGGATTTAGTGAATAAATGTTCAAAGAAGTACACATTTTCTGTAGGCTTGATTGTAGACATACCATTACCATTACCATAAAATCAAATATCCAGGAAAATACAATTTTTTTGAAATCTTGGAACATTGTTTCCTACAAAAAGAAAAGAATTCACAGTATATGTTTTATGTAAAAATAATACAAATATACAGCTCTCTTCTACATTTCAGATCCTCAGACATCACTGATGATCAGATTTCCTGATGGAAACAGACAGCAGTTTTCGGTATCCTGTAAATCTAAACTTATGGTAAGTAGACTTTGGATGTTATCTTTATACCACAAAAATAATGCATTAATGATTAGGTTAAATGATGATTGAATTGCGATTTTTGGTTACAACCTTGGCTTTCCGTCATAAAACTTTTCTCAGTACTAGGAGAACAAAATTTGTGATGGAAACACCGAATCCTGTATTTTGATTGGTTGATATCTGAGTCTTAGTACGATGATTGTGCTCAAAATTTTTATGACCTCAAGGCCAGGTTAAACTGCAGGTTCTGAAGATTTTCAAATTAATGGTATAAGAGTTTTGGGACTTTAGTCTTGAAAAATTCAGCAGTGATAGGCACTTCTCATGTATTTTAGATTGCTTAACTAAATCTTTAGGAAGTTTAATTTGTCCTCAAAGTATGAGTGCTTTAAATATAAAAATAAGGAGATGTGGTTTGATTGCCAATGAGACAACTCCACCAGAAACCAAATGACGTAGAAGTAAGACTAGTTTTGCTTGCTTGCTTTTGATTTTATAAATTTTCTGATTTCTTGTACTTTCGTTATTGGACTTTTATTTCTCAAAATCTGATAATCTCAAGCTCATCTTAGGACAAGTTTTCTTGAATAAATTTTCTGTAAATATTTTAAACAATGGAAAAAGGGATCATTAATATTAGCCTTATTTTCATTTCAAAGATTTCGTAATTGTCATTCCAATATTTCATCAGATGAAAAATAAAACAGCCTTGGTGGTCATGTGCATATGCTTCCCCTGACTGTTTGACTGTCATAAAAAGTGTTTTACTTAAAAGAAACCCATTCACAATCATTTCATTTTGCTTTCTGGTATTTTAAGCCTCTTCTTTTAGGTACATAAAATAATTTGAGGACTTTTAAACTTGGGAGAATTTTATTAAAGTTTCAATCTTTTACCAAGAGCATGTAAAAAATATCATTTTATGTTCACTTGGAGGAAATGTAGAGAGGCAAACAATGTTATTACTTAATTATTGACCCATAAAATACATGACGCATTATTAATAATGATATCAGCTAATAGGTATTACGTTATATAGATACAATGGATAAGCGTGGATTCTTGAAAAAGAAACCATGAGCCCGGAGGGCGAATGGTTTGTTTTTCATGAATCTACGCTTATCCATTGTATCTATAACTTAAACTATTGTGTTAATTTTTCAAAATTAAAGCCTTTTCTTAATTAGAAGGTATTGTAAGTGAGTTTAAATAACCATGTTATCATGTCCAACGATGCATTGATAAATCTCAGATCACAATTAATTGGTTAACAAAATACAAATATAACTACCTTTAAAAGATCTTTATATTACCAGGCATATGAATATTATCTGTTTATACAAAATGAGACATATTCGAAATTATTTCTAATAAAATTGAAAATGGAAATGGGGGACGTGTCAAAGAGACAACAACCTGACCAAAAAGCATATATAAAGTATATATAATAAGTATGTTATCGAAATTTTTCTAGCACTCTAGGCACATCACGATTTTCTCGCATAAGAATTTGCAAACAAACCTTTGTAAGATTATGTAGTAAAACAGATGAAATCATACTATATTTATGAAACGAAAATTGACAAATAGAATGTAATCATTTTTGTTTCAAACATGTGAAATAGCCAATAATAATTAAAAAAAAACACGGTAAAACTCGCAATTATTACAAAAATATCCACTATAACATGCAAAATTAGAAAAAAAACAGGATAACGTAAGAATTGGAACAACAGAGATAATACAGGGATTCGAACCTAAACCGACAAATCCCTATCTTGAACTCATTGATTTTAACCATGCTAACCTCGCGGCTACCAACTCATACTATACCACTGCCTATTGTGTCTATATAAAGGTACAAGCCATGTGTGTTGATGAACCGATGTATATCAGATGTTCATTTAAATACATAAAATAGACATCTATAGTATAACCCATTGGTAGCCGAGAGGTTTCGTCGATGTGTTGATGTCAGTCACACATAACAGATTTCAAGGAAGGGTTCGATTCCCAGTGAAGGCATATAAAAATTACAAAAATTAAAGGTAAGTTTTTAAATTAATTCCATTAGTGAACAGAAATCAGTAAATTAGCCACTTCAAACTTAATGAAATTAGGCACACAAAGGAAACAATTGAATATAATTTGGTGAGTCAATTTCAGCGGCAGATTTAGGAAGCGTTGATTCTAGAAAAAGAATCCACGGTAAATGAATAGGCTGACGTCACCACAATGGTTTAATTTAATTTATCTTATGCAAAATAGTGCATTGGTTTAGGTACCATTTACATGTAACCTTTTTTTACACCCTATAAACCTTATAGTAAAGTAGAGCAAAAGTAAAGTACCATTCTTTCTAAAACTTGGTATGATGTTGTTGATTGAACGCCCTTAAATCCTGTTAAGTAGAGCAAAAGTAATGCACTAATAGTAATACTCATTAAACTTTGTATGAATTTTTTTATTGTACACCTTTTAATCCTGTTAAGCAGAGCAGAAGTAATGCACTAGTCTTCAATAAACTTGGTATGATGTTTGTAATTGAACACCCTTTAATAATGTTAAGCAGAGCAAAAGTAATGCCCAAGTCATCATTAAACTTGGTATGATGATTTTTGTCTCTCCTTGACGAAGTCAAAAAGCGAGACATAGGTATGCTGTTTCCGGCGGCGGCGGCATCAACAATGTATTAGTTTGTGATTAGGTCAGTTCAAGGGGAACCATTAGTGGTAGGCCAATGTTAATTGGTATGCAATTGTATAAGCATTAGCACATCTCATTTCCATGAAGAATATTTGGTCCCGCCCTCTCAGTCATGGTCTATTGACTTTGAAACTTTTGCTTAGTTTACATGAATTAGTTTGTGATTAGATCAGTTTCAGATGAACCGCTAATGTTAAGTCAATGATATTTGGTATGCAAATTTATTGACATTTGCAAGTCTAGTTTCCATGGAGATTATATAGCCCCACCCCCTCATCATGGTTCATTGACTTTGAAACTTTTACATAGTTTACAAGTCAATGTTTGTGTTTAGGTTTGTTGAAAGGGAACGACTTATGATAAGTCTATGGTATTTGGTATGCAGTTGTATTAGCATTGGCACATCTCATTTCCATGGAGATTGTTTAGCCATGTACCTTCAGTCATGGTTCATTGACTTTGAATAATTGCATAACTTACATGTTAAAGTATTGCTATTTTAATTTCGACATTTGCATTATCAAAAGTACAAAAAGGTGAGACATATCTCTGTGTTAACAGTTTATTATTGTACACCCTTTAATCATGTTAAGCAGAGCAAAAGTAACACACTAGTCTTCATTAAACTTGGTATGATGATTTTTACTGTACACCCTTTAATCATGTTAAGCAGAGCAAAAGTAATGCACTAGTCCTCATTAAACTTGGTATGGTGATTTTCATTGTACACCTTTTAATTATATTAAGCAGAGCAGAAGTAGCGCCCTAGTCCTCATTAAACTTGGTATGATGTTTGTTTTATGGTAATGCACCAGTTCTCCTTACACTTTGTATGGTATTTGTTTCATCATATTAAACTTACGATTTCTTTCTTTTTTGCTATAGGCATTAGTGCTATATGTTGCAGAAAATGGATTTAGCAATGAACAATATGAACTTGTCACAAATTTCCCAAGACGCAAATTATCATACATGGACTTTGAACTTACATTGGAGGACGTGGGACTTTATCCCCAGGAATCAGTGTTTGTGCAGGCAAGGTGAAGAATATCATGAAGAGTCAATCTTTATAGACAATCTAAGCCAAATGTACAGTGAATATCATTGATGATATAACTAGATCTCAATTTTAAGCTCAAATTCAAATCGTGCCTCAATTACAATAGGTAAACGCCACCTACCTCGAGATTTTTTTTATTGTTTTACCTGAAATACATTCCTATTTATGGAGTGGTAAGGCTAAAGAAATTATTTGATATGCAAACATTCAAACTGGAAGGCAGGGATTAATGGAAGTGATACTCGCTTTTGAATGAGTCAGTTGACAATTTTATGTCAGAAATGCCAGTGCCATCTCAGGAGTTTTTCAGCTCAGCCAGAACAGGAATTATATTGGTGCATAATTTATGTAAATTTTTAATAAATATTTTTACCAGCAAGGTTAATTTGAATATGTTTTAAGCCTTACTTGCCTATCAAGTACACAAATCAGTATTTCTTTGTGAGACATTTGGGTTGTGTCTTAAAGTACTCTTAAGGGAACGACCATTTAACTTCAAAGGGGGGTATGGTTTTTTCCTAGAAAAATATTCTGATCCCTAATTTGATGAACAAAAAAATTGTGGTCAAGCAGATGACAAAAAAAATATTCTGAATCCAGATTTTCCCCATACCTTATAGTGTTGAATTTAAAAAAAAAATTTGATTGATAGCCATGATAGCGTCAAAAAATATAACCCCCCCCCCCCCCCCTTGAAGATAAATGGTTGCTCCCTGACCTTTTAACAAAACAAAATCCTCCACAGGTACCCAGAAGTTTTTTGAAAAGCTGGAACTTTCAAGCCATTGATGATATATATATTAAAATCACACCACACCTATTGCATTCTTACATTTACTATTGCAATAATTATACTCCTGTTCCTAAGGAGGAGCTGTATACTGTTTTAACCTTTCATCTGTCCCATTAAATTCCATAGCATTTTTCATAGCTTCCTGAAATTCAATATCAGACTTCATGTAACCATGTGATGCTTCTTCAGATTCATAACCCAAACCTTATATATTGTTACACATGATAGCAATGTATGAAGTTTCTGTCATTTTATCTTTAGAATTAATTAAGAATTTTCAGAATTTCGTAATCAGGCTTCATATGAATATGTTTTACTGTGTAATGAGTTTTCAGATGCATTGTTTATGAACTTCCTGTTAACCCAAAACCTGTTTTCTAACACATAATAACCATTTATGAAACTGAGGTACCTGTAATCTGAGAAACTACAAATAAGTGCTTACTGAAATTTGTGATCTAGCTTCAGATGCACATGTTATACTGTGTAATGTGTTTTCAGATTCATCAATTATTGACTTCCTGTTTACGGAATACTTATACATTCAAACATGTAATTTTTTATTTTGATTTTGTTTTACATCTCACTCCCCCTTTTTTATTAATTTTGTATTTACATTGTGTCATAGATCAAATTTATTCATTCAGTGTATGTTTACTTGTTTTTGTTAATATGTCTTTTGATTGAGTTAAGCCGTTTCAATTGATATTTTATAGTGTGTCTTTCTATGTTGTGATGTTACACTATTATTTCAGGTTAGGGTGAAGGTTGGCGCCTGTTAAAAGGTTTATACCCGGTATTTGTTTGCACCTGTCCTAAGTCAGGAACCTGTTGTTCAGTGGTTGTCGTTTGTTGATGAGGTTCATAAGTGTTTCTCGTTTCTCGTTTTTTATATAGATTAGACCGTTGGTTTTCCTGTTTGAATGGTTTTACACTAGTCATTTTTGGGGCCCTGTATACCTTGCTGTTCGGTTTGAGCCACTGCTCCGTGTTGAAGGCTGTACTTTGACCTATAATGGTTTACTTTTTACAAATTGTGACTTTGATGGAAAGTTGTCTCATTGGCACTCATACTACATCTTCTTATATCTATGTAATGGCTGATTGAAATTTCCATCGCATTTTTCTATGGAAAAAGCTTCCTAAAATTTGATATCAGGCTTAGTTTGAATACGCTACACTGTGTGACGCAGTTTCAGATTCATCATTCCTCATCTTCCTGCTATTACCAATTACTTAAAGCTAGGGTATCATTAGTGAACAATAGTTCATAGCTCAATCTACTGGTCTATATTATTTAACATGCAAAATCAATTGAGATTTCATATTTCTGTAATCAAGAAAGGAGAAAATACTGTTTCAGATTCATCAATCGTCGACTTCCTGTTTATGGAATATTTATACATTCAAACATGTACAGGCAATCCAAAGCCACAAGTCAGAACAAGACTGACAACACCATTAAAAAAAAACGAGGCTGCAAAACACTTCACCTAAAAAAAAAATACACAACATGAACCCTGCCAAAAACTGGTGGTGACATCAGTTTAAAAACAAAAATATCTGCCATGTTATTGGACATGTTATTTTCAATAATTGACTGAGCTTAACCATGTTAACTTTCATTGTAGGCACTGGCTACAGTTACATGGAAATGTAACAATAATATAAAAATTATTGTTACATTGGAGACTAATTGCCAGAATGCAGGGTTGGGTAAGGAACCGATTAATTACGAATGTAACAATAATATTTGGGTCTACGGTTACATTGCGTTATTGTTACATTAACGCACTGCAATGTACGATTGGAATAGTAATAAATATGTATTAAAATAAAACTTGAAAACTTTTATTTGATATATACAATATTGCATACAATATTTTGATTTTTTATTTACAATGACAGTTTCTACAAATCCAGTATGTTGTTTTTGGAGCATGTTTTAGTCCGACGCATTTTTGGTGAAACCACTCTAATCAGCCATCACACACCAGTGATATGGCAATGTGCACTCTCTATATTGCATACCGTACAATTCCATTCTGCATTTTCCCTTTCTGAAGTTTAAGAAACTTTCAATGTCTGAATGCCATGCTTCAGGTGAAAAATATTTTGTTACTCTTGCGATGTTTACATTTTCCTCCAATATTTTTTTTGGAAGCATATTAGGTTGTTTAAATACAAGTCAATTGTGAAAGCAATTAATGTTGACATTTGCCGACAGCATAGCCAGAAATTAGTAGTACTTTATCTAATTAATATTCATAATATGTAAATGAGAATTGTACCACGTGATAATAGTTTGAACTGGACTGGCTTGATATCATTAAAATCTTTAAAACACGGATATTATAAGTTGCCCGTCACAGAGTCCTTGTTTATAATCACTCTGATATTTCCGTAAAGTTGTCAGGCGGTCAAAATCAAAACAATGAACGCGAATTTAGTGAATTTTTCACGTTTTCATGAGTTTATTCTTCTTGAAATAGGGTCATTTTAACTTTATTGAATGTTAAGGGTAGTTAAAGCAGTTGATTCAGAACCATGGGCAATAAAATTTGTAGCAGATATATCTACTGGTACAAATACTCAAATACTAATACTAGACAAGCACTCCTACGGTAAGAGAGCCGTACAGGTGCTATCTAAACAAGCTTGTAATCTAGTAAGCGTAAGAGAAAGTCCACAGACTGAATACCTAAATATCAATTTAGGAAGTGGGGGTTGCAGAAATGCCATCTGAAGAAGAAATAAACAATACCAATGCTGATGATACAAAATTCACTAAAATATACTATTGAGTCTTGGAAAGAGAGAGCTGGAAGAAAACATAGAAGAAAGTAAAGAGTTTGTTAAAATGCTGAGACAGTACGGTTCCCTTAAGAAAAAAACATCAGAAGATTTAAAACTTTCTTTGATTACAATCACAGTGTACCATCAATGGCATCATCAGTTAAACATACAATCATTCCATATAAAATTGTCATGTCATATGTTAATATCATTATGCATATATATGTGACACCTTTAATAAAAGATTAATTACCTATATGTATTGTTTATTTAAAAAAAACCACAATACTGGTACAATACTGGAATACAATACTGGTACAAAATTTTTATACCAGTATTGTGGACAATACTAGTATACCAGTATTGCGATCACCAACTACAGGAGATCCATTAAAGTTAAAACAGACATTTTTTTTCAAAATTCCCTATCATTTCAATATAATTTCCGTGACCCGTATCCGATTTCTTTAGTATAATATTCAAATAAGCAAAGTGGCGATGATTTCTGGATATGGATTGAAATTGGTGGAATCAGTGTTTTCATTTTCAGAGTCCAGATATTTTGTGATCTTATCAGTCGTGACAGTACATGCTCTATTGAACTGTTCATTAAGTATTCATTTAGAGTGATATTGAACTAAACTGTAGTAGTCATGATTTTTAACAACACCAAAACAATCAATACTTATTCGCTGAATAATATTATTGTTATTAATATTATCAAGTACATATCGAAGAATTAAGCAACATAACTATAGAAGGTTTAAGTTTAATAAATCTATCATACATTGCAGTCTTTAATGTAACAATAACGCAATGTAACCGTAGACCCAAATATTATTGTTACATTCGTAATTAATCGGTTTCTTACCCAACCCTGCATTCCGGCAATTAGTCTCCAATGTAACAATAATTTTTATATGACCGCAAAAATTTTTGCGGTCGTATATTGGTATGACGTTGGCGTTGTCGTCGTCGTCCGAAGACACATTGGTTTTCGCACTATAACTTTAGTTTAAGTGAATGGATCTCTATGAAATTTTACCATAAGGTTAAATACCACAAAAGGAAGGTTGGGATTGATTTTGGGGGTTATGGTACCAACAGTTAAGGAATTAGGGGCCAAAAATAAGCATTTTCTAGTTTCCCAACAATAACTTGTGGAACGGTGTATGGATCTCTCTGAAATTATACCACAAGTTTCCATACCACAAAGGGATTGTTAGGATTTGCTTCGTATAACAAGCTGTGATAAACAATTTAAGCAACACTGCCACAGTTTTCATCAAGTTTTTGATTAACTGCCTATAGCGCTTACAGTGCTTTGATTAATTATACGTCAGTTACATCAGACGACAATATAAAAAATAATGCTCCTTCCATTTGAGACTGTGAAACATCTAGTTTTAGATATGTTCCCTATGGTCATGTCATTACAGGAGACCTCAACATCTTCAAAGACCGTGAGGTCAAAACTTTTCTAAAGAAAGGACCTAAATATCGTTCTCCATCTATAATAGATTGGAAACAGTGTCGTCAGTTCATTAAAGACGCTTTGTCTGCCTACTGTAAAATTTGGTGTAAACGTTAAACTCTGATAAAAAATCTCTAGACAGTTATTTGAATAAAATTATGAATACTGTTGATGTTCGCATATCTCATTTTGAAAACAATTCTGAAATTGATAATAGGGTCCATGATATACCCATTTCTAGAATAAAAAATAAACTCCAAGTACTCGCAAAGCGGTTTGTGTTCGTACCGGAAGACAAAGCATCCAATAATGTAGT